CCCAGCAGATGAGCATCCGCAAGGGCGGCACCTTCACGATGCTCAGCGACCTGCTGACCATTGTGTTCGCCAACAAGGAGGACGTGATGGGCAAGGTGTACGCCAGCTTCAAGGTGCACGTCCAGGTGGAGGAGTCGAAGCAGGCGCATGGAAAGCAGCAGCAGGGTGCCAAGCAGCAGGGCGGTTGGCTGGGCAAGGGAACGATTGCGGCGGCCGGTGGCTCCGGTAAGGTGGCCAAGATCGTCAACTTCTGGTGCTTCAATCCCGGCTTCGGAATGGAACAGCTGCTCAACACCCAGGTGCGCAGCGTGATCCTCACCAGCGGCACCCTGGCGCCGCTCAAGCCGCTGATCGCCGAGCTGGCCATTCCCGTGGCCCAGCATCTCGAGAATCCGCACATCGTCGACCAGTCGCAGGTGTACGTCAAGATCATCGGCACGGGACCCGATCGCCAGCAACTGATATCCAACTACCACAATCGGTAAGCATTATATACATTTATTCTATTTGAAATTAATCAATTGGGGAAATGACTAGATTAATTTAAAGAAATGTATAACTATATTTATATTTATTTATTCATATTGACAATTAATAGTATTATTAACTATTAATCACGCTCGAAATTAAATAATCAATGGAATAAATTTTAATATATGTATATTAATAACTAGATATTTTAATAATTAATTTAATAGTGAAGCATTTTGCATATTTTAAATTAATTTGATCAATTTTATAGGTTGAAAAAGTTGATATTTAACTAAAATGTAATAACTACCTAAAAATAAATATTTTAATAATATTATAACTTACATATATTAATAAAAATATTTTAATAATAATTATTTTAATAGTGAAGAATTTTGCATATTTTAAAATAGTTTGATCAATTTTATAAGCTGAAAAGGTTGATATTTAACTAAAATGTAATAACTACCTGTAAATAAACTATAGTTTAATTTTGTAATCAGCTTAAATAGCTTCTAAATGGATTGACTGCATGATCGATTTATTTCTCAAATTATCTCATGACTATTTTAAAATAAGTTGATCAATTTGAAAAGGTTGATATTTAACTAAAATGTAATACCTAACTGAAAATAAACTATAGTTTAATTTTGTAACAGCTTAAATAGCTTCTAAATGGATAGACTGCATGATCGAGTTATTTCTCAAATTATCTGAATGCTATTTGCTATAAACTGTGTCATGCTAAAAAATAAATACGTGCTATTATATAAAATTCGATAAAAGTCAAATAAAGTTATTCTAATTCAGAGAATCACGTATATAACATATCTATTAGATATTATCTAATACACATCTAACCTTTTCCAGTGACAATCCAAAGTACATCAGCTCCCTGGGCCAGACGATCCTCAATGTATCGCGGATAGTGCCCGACGGCCTGCTCGTCTTCTTTCCATCGTATCCCATGTTGAACAAGTGCGTGGACGCGTGGCAGGCCAGCGGTTTGTGGGCGGACATTTCGAGCAAGAAGCCGATCTTCCTGGAGCCGCGTGGCAAGGATCAGTTCACCAGCACGATGGAGGAGTTCTACCAGGCGATACGCGACTCCAAGGGTGCCGTCTTTATGGCCGTGTGTCGCGGCAAAGTCTCCGAAGGTCTGGATTTCGCCGATCGTAATGGTCGGGCGGTGATCATCACGGGCCTGCCCTTTCCGCCGCTCAAGGACCCCAAGGTGATACTGAAACGTCGCTATCTGGAGGCGAATAGGACGCGGGAGAACCAGCTGTTGAGTGGCCAGGAATGGTATAATCTGGATGCCACGAGGGCGGTCAATCAGGCCATCGGTCGTGTGATCCGGCATCGCAACGACTACGGCGCCATTTTGCTTTGCGATTCGCGGTTTAAAGATGCCTCCCAGGTGCAGCAGCTGTCCAAGTGGATTCGCGGCCACTTGGGCGAACGGCCGCAGTGCTCACCCTTTGGCCCCATCGTCCGGGAGCTGCGCCAGTTCTTCAAGAACGCCGAGGCGAATGTGAGTCTGTGGGATTTTCTCTCTCTTATGATCTTAATTTGGTATCATAAAATCCCCAGATGAAACAGCCGGATGAGCGGGAGTCGGAGCCGCCGTTGGAAACCGTTTGCAAGACCGAGGACGAGCCACTAGCCGCTATTCCCAAAATAAAACGAGAGCCGGGATCCAATGCCACATTTAAGGCAGCCAATGAAACGGCCATGTAAGTAAAATATTTGTAGGAAAATGGGATTTAATAGGTTCAACTTAACATAAATTATTTAACCAATCTAATGCACTTCAAATTCAATTTTTTAAAATCATATCCAATCCATATTGTTATAACCACGCAATACTAGTAAAATTGGTATTAAATAATATAATTTTGCCGAATTGAATCTCTCAAGTCTAAATTGATACCACATAATATCAAATTGATCATCGTTTCATATGTTTTTTTTTTGGTATATGATTAGGAGTCAGTATTGTAAAGTAAATTTCGTTTTAGCCATGCTATACTGGTAAAATTGACTCTCTGACTTTGAAAAAGAGAGTAAGAAGCAAGATGACGACTCTCTCAAGTCAAAATTGATACCACATAATATCAAATTGATCATTGTTTCATATGTTCTTTTTTTAATTAAATTAAGCCAAAATTGACTGCTTATATTGTATGTAAATTTAAATAGTTTTAAACCAAAAATTTAAAAAGGTGCACTTTCCTGAAATCCAATTACAATTGGTAAAGTCTTCGGTATTTCTACTGCATTTCTGTCATAACTGCAAAGTTAAAATAAACTTTGGTTGCCTTACTTCATCAATTATTTATTATTTTCCCTTCCAGCAAAGTGGAGATGGCGAATTCCATTAAGACTTGGACGCCGGCCGATTATGCCAGTGCCGCTGGGCGAAAACTGGGTGGTGCGGCGCCCAATGCCATGGACTTTATGAGCCGCCTCGACTCGAATGTCTCGGTAAACACGGGATTCCCACGAATCTACTTTTACTTTCTGTTTACTTAGTTGTTTAGTGAATGTTTTCCCCCATGCTCCCCATTCCAGAGTATCGATTTCAATTGCTGCGTGGATAGTAAAAGTGGAGGCTCCTCTGGTCTGGTGAAGATCCATAAGCGGGAGCGAAGTTCACCAACGCCGCCGGAAACCTCCAGCCAGGTGGCCAAGAAGCGCTACAAACTGGTGGAGAACATCAAGGTGGAGCCGAGCAGTTCGCAGGCCAAAGAGGCACCCGAATCAAGGGCCGATTTTTTGCGGGAGGTGGGTTATATTTATAGGAAAATACCTTATATTTCTCATTATATATATTCGATCTTACAGCTCCGCAGTTTGATCAACCAGGATCAGTTCCGCCGCTTCGGCAAAGCACTGTTGGAGTACAAAAATGGCAGCGATGAGAGCTTCAAGGCTCTGATGACCATACTCCTGGAGGTCCTCGCGGCACCGAAAATGCGCTACATGCTGGTGGGAATGCGGAAGTATCTCAAAAATGAGCACAAAAACGAGTTTGACCAAACGCTGGCTAAAATGTAAGCATTTTTCTGAATGTCCCAAAAATGTTTCGGAATTTCTTCACATCCTTAGGATGCACTAAAATAAGTATTTTCAATATTGGCTGTAATTTTATTTAGTAACTAACGGGGTGTATATATTTTAAATACAATTAATAGCATTTGTATCTTTACGTCTTTATAATAAAAGTTTGTTATGAATGCAAAATGTACTATTAACTAAATTTTTTTCATATTATAAATAATATTATAAATATATGAATAGAATTATAAATATTTTTGATAATTAAAAGCGTGTATATCTCTACCACATCCTGTTATTTTTTTTGGGATCAAGATTGATTTAATCAAAACTTTAATTTATTTTTATATTTCATTTGAATAAAAATTGTATTTATAATAAATTGATGAGATTAAATGAGCTTTATAACAAATCAAAGGATATAACAGGGTGACCCACAAATCTTTCAGGATATACAATATTTTCTAGTATTTTAAAAGAAAATAAAAATAATTAAAATATTTTTATGGGTATGATTTTCCAACTATTCTATTAGCTTTATACATATATCTAGTTTTTAATTAATAATTCAGTAGGGACATACATAAAAATATGAAAAAAATATATTATTTATTTAATTGTTTTGTTTTTTTACTTAAAAACTGGTATAACTTTCCAGTTATCCTCCCAGCTTTATACATATATATATTTTTTAATTAATGATTCATTAGGGATAAACATACAAATATTAAAAAAAAAAAAATTATTTATTTAATTTTTTTGTTTTTTTATGTATAAACTGGTATTATTCTCCAACTATTATTACAGCCTTTTACATTTATCTAGTGTTAAATTAATAATTTAGAGGGGATATATAATAATATAAAAAAAAATTATTTATTTAATATTTTTGTTTTTTTTTAACTTATAAACTGATATAATTTTCCAACTATTCTTACACCCTTTTACATACATCAAGTTTTTAATTAATAATTCAGTAGGGATGTAGATATATTTTGTAGTTAGCAGCTCGCTTGGTAACAAATCTGCGAATTGCAGCCAGCGCAGTACGCGTCCAATAAGTTCATTGCCAAACGGGCCGAGTCCCTAAATGCACACATCCACATTTACATCCACATTTCCATCGGGTGGCCCAACCGAGTCCGAAAAATGAGGCCGAGTGCAGCGAGAACGCGGGTCCGAGTGGCTCGGCTCGGCTTCGAGTTTGGACTTGGGGAGGCACTCGCGTGGCAACTATCGTCCAGGGCGCACGGCACACACGCAGAGCAGCCGGAGGAGATAGATAGTCCTAAACCCGATCCAGGTCCACACCCGCCAAGAGAACCGCTGCTGATCCATCCTCAACCGCCTCATCTAATTTCCGCCGCTTTGATTGGGGCACGCAGTAAGTTGATTGCATTTGCTATTAGCTATTTGCTATTCTTTACTTGCTACTTGCAACAAGTAATAGCAGTGGGTGGTGGTGGGTGGATTGGGCTGACGTGGGCCGTTCGACCTTGGCCTGGTTTAGGCACTCGCCTTAATTGCATTTTGTCGTCAACGCAGCGCACATGGTGGAGGAGATTGGCTGCCAGAGACAGACGGGCATTGTGGTCGCCATGCCCAGCCAGGTGGCATCGAGCACCGGAACTCCAGCTCCAACAGCCGCCGGCATTCACCAACAGCAGCAACAGCAACAGCATCAGCAGCAACATCAGCAGCAGCAACATCATCAGCAGCAGCAACATCAGCAACTCCAGCAGCAGCAACAGCAACACCATCAGCAGCAGCAACACCTTCAGCAGCAACAGCAACATCAACAACTCACCAGCAACATGAGCCTGCTGACCGTCAAGGGCGGTCGCTACCTTTGGACCGATCGGGAGCTATTAATGCACCTCCAGAACTACACTCCCTTGATCCTGCTCATCGATTTCGTGGAGAAGACCAGGACCAAGCGATTCTACGAGAGCAGCGAGCGCTACGAGATCCTCATGCTGGTCTTCATCATGCGCAAGGGAGCGCCGTTCTGCGAGAACAAGCGATTTCCGGCGGAGTACTGGGTAAATCTGTCGGTGGGTCCAATTGCCGAGGCTTTTGACCGACTGCAGGCGGCCATCGACATACCGGATCCCCAGCTGCCCATTCACATGAGCGTCACGGATTTGACCAGCTGGAAGCAGATGTTCGACCTGGCCATGCTGGACATCAGGCGATTCGCCTACTACACCGATCCCTTGCAGCTGGCCGATGCGGGCGTCTTCAATCGGATCACCTTTGAGCAGCGATTCGGAATGCAGTGGCAGGAGTAGAAGTTGGAATCGATACAGGTCACAGGATATAAACACAACCCCAGCACCAAAACACTTCAACACATTGGGATGGATCGAGGGGAATTCGAACAAAAGCTGGTTGTAAATAAAGGGAACTATCTTTAGATTATCGCAGATTTAATAGTATTGCTAACAGGCCTGATTTTGCATTTTATTTATTAACAAACACGTCCAGGTATATTTTTTGTAGTAAAAAGTAATAAGTTTCTGGAAATTCGAATTTTAAATATGTTTTTCTTTTTACAAATATTACAAACTGAGTGAAAAAATTTAAATTTAAAGTTCAATCATTATATTACAAGAAATGCCAGGACCAAGCATTTAATTAAATATCTAATATCAGCTAAAATCTTTAGATTATGGCAGATTTAATTGTGGTGCCAACAGGCCTGATATTTGCATTTTTTTTTTAAAGAAATACGTCCAGGTAAAATATTTTTTGTAGTAAAAACTAATAGTTTCTAGAAATTCAAATTTTAAAATATGTTATTCTTTTTACAAATATTGCAAAGTGAGTGAAAAAATTAGAATTTTAAAGTTCAATCATTATTTTACAAGAAATGTCAGAACCAAGCATTTAATTAAATATTTAATATCAGCTAAAATCTTTAGATTATGGCAGATTTAATTGTAGAGCTAACAGGCCTGATATTTGCATTTTATTTATTAACAAATACGTCCAGGTAAAATATTTTTTGTAGTAAATCTCTAAAAAAGTAATAAGTTTCTAGAAATTCGAATTCAAAATATGTTATTCTTTTTACAAATATTACAAAGAGAGTGAACAAATTTAAATTTAAAGTTCAATCATTATATTACAAGAAACGCCAGGACAAGCATTTAATTAAATATTTAATATCAGCTAAAAATAGTTCCCGAAAAAAAGATTAATTTGATACTACCGAAACTTAACCGATCCATCCAATCCCACATAGACAGAGTTATTTGTTGCGTTCGAATCCCTGCATAGCGGAATCTACTGTGCCTTCTCCACCACTCCAGATCCTCCTCCTCCTCCACAGTTCCACTCGCATTCCTCGCAACTCCTCCAACTTCATCTCTTCTCAGACTCCTCAAAATGTATCTGTAATACAATGTACTGTCGACGTAGGACCCAAAATGCTTTAATGGAAATAAACGTTAGTTACTGTTCAATCGACTATTTATCCTTGTAAAACTGTGATACATCCTCAACGTGCATTACTCACTATAAAAAATATTACTTTATGTACAAAAAAGAACTACGGCTAACTTTAAGCTTAATTCGACATCGACGAGATCTTCGGTAGTCCCATTCCCTGGGATCGAACGATCCTGGCTCACGGCTGCCGCTTGGGAATGCGCTCCCGATCGAAGATCCCCAGCAGCTTTCCGCGGGTCATCTCCTTCGCCTCGCGCAGTCCCAGCTGGTAGATCTCATCATGCATCGACTTTATTTTCTCGATCAGCTCCTCGGGACTGAGTTGGGATAGTTCTGGGTGGGAGAGGGGAAATGTTTAATGAAGTGTTTTTGATTTCAAGTTGTTACTTGATTATTTCTAACTTATATTATCAAGTTTCCTAAATATAGAGCATAGAGTTCTGAACTACGCAAATACCATTTAAGTAAATTAATACCATTATCAATTTATTCAGGAAAAATAAGATATCTAAAGTTATTTTCTATAGACAGACAAATACCTAAAGAAAACTACATTAAGTATTAAGAATAATTATTTTTTAAAGCTACAAACAGATATGTAGTAAGCATGAGCTTTTTTTCTATTTTTTTCTATATAACTTTTCTATGATAACATTTTATTGGAACCCAAGAAACAAACACGGACCTAAATATTAGTATCCCACCAAATTAGTTTGATTCCTTCTTATCCTCATATTTTTAAAATATATTTAAATATACTAAATATAAACTATCTAAATACTTTACTATTATAACATTTTATTGGAACCCAAGATAGAAACACAGTACTATATCTTAGTAATCCAACAAATCAGTTTGATTCCTTCTTTTCCTCATATATTTTAAAACTACAAACAGATACCAAATATAAACTATCTAAATACTTTTTATTTCCCAAGAAAGAAACTTTGAACTATATAGTATTAACCCACCAAACCTGTTTGATTCCTTCTTATCCTCATATTTTTTAAAACTACAAACAGATACCCAATATAAACTATCAAAATCCTTTACTATTATAACATTTTATTGGAACCCAAGATAGAAGCACAGTACTATATCTTAGTAATCCAACAAATCAGTTTGTTTCCTTATTTTTATCATAATTTTAGTGACACATATAACTTTAAAGAACCCGCAGAACAGAGTTTTAAACAAGGTATACATAGGTACTCCCCCCATTTGATGTTTACATGGTTCTGGAATCTAGATGCTTGGCTACTCACGATTGATCTTGGCCATGTCCTCGCTGGTCAGGTTGTTGGCGTAGTCCGTGTTGCGCGTGTAGATGGGCGTATCGCTCATGGTGAGGAACTCATCCATTCCGGGAACTGCAGTGGAGCACCCAAAACAAAAACGAAAAAGGCGTTAAAAATGGCGCCAAGTGGCGAGGTGCACACGTTTTTCACACTCACATCGCTCCGGCCACTGGACAGGTGAGGCGCGCAGCGTCTCCAAGGAGATGAGCTCGTCCTCCGGCGTCTCGGGCTTCTTCTTGTCCTCCGACTTCTCCTCTCCAGCGGATAACCTGCTCCTGCTGGCCGCAGAAGCCTCGGCCACCTCCTCGTCCGCTTTCAAAATGGATTCTGCAAGAAACGCGCTTTTAAATGCACTTCCTGTCCGTGTTTGGTGCTCCCCACCTGGCGCAAACAACTCCACGGCTGGCTCTGCAGTGCTCATCTTGGGAAATGTCCAAAAAACCGCCGAACGAAGGCAAAAATAGAAATAATTCAAGAATTCCGTGGGCTAATCACTTGCCACCTGGTTGAATAAAAAATGCGGCGTTGCCACCCGATGGCTATCGACCTATCGATTAATCGGCAGGCCAGTGCTGCAAATCACTGGCGGTTATTAATAATTTCTTATTTTTGGTAAACAAAGAACTGTTGCTGTTGCTTTTATTTGTTTTTATTTTTAAAATTTATAAATAAAAAGCGCAGCAAGCAGGAAGTTAAGGCGCCTTGAGTTATTCGAAATTCAAAGTGGAGAGCATCGGAGCAACGGGACCCTCCCCCTGCCCACCGCCTCTAGTGTGCGCTCTCTTGCACTCACGGTCGACTAACGGCGCATAGAGACAACTCTGCGCGAGGTCGCCTGCTCTCTTTCGCTCTCGCGCCTAAATAGCACTTGGCACACTGCGCACAGTGTCGCCGAAAAGTATGTGCTCGTGAAAAAGCACATGTGCCCTAGATTTGAATGGAGTTTGTTGTGATGGATGTCTAGGGATTAATTAATATTATTTCACCTTTAAAAAGGTGTTTTTAAATACATTTTTTAGGGATTTATTCGAAATTTTAAGTATTGCTTAAACGAAAATAGCATAAATTTTAAAGTTTATTTAGACTTTTCTACAGCACTGTGTCCCCGTGCGCGCTCGCACTTTCTTTCAGTTGGCAGTCGCTGCTCCGCTCTCACTCTGGCCACAACCACACACACACTCCCCACTCACCTGTTCCGCTCCCCCGCCCCCCTCTCTTTCGACCTTAGTGCGACCGCGACCGCTCCCGTTCCGTTTGGTCGTTTTTTTTTTCTCGTTGCGATTCAGTTGCCGTTTTTACTCCGCCGCGCGAGAAGCGGAAACTTTTGTGGTCCGCGTTGGAAATTCGAACATAAAAAACTGCATTGCTGCAACCCGAACGTTTCGTATTTCGTTTGGCGCCAAATTTCGAATCGCAAATCCGCTGGCGGATTGAATTGAAGCAAAGTTTTTTACTTCCCGCCTATTTCCCCCCCGTTTCCCCCCCGGGCATTTGCACACCCCCCGCGCTGCGACTCCCATGGCAGCTAGCAAATTCCATTGCGGCAAGCAAACGATAGCCACACATTCACATTTCGATGCGACATGTGCGAAAATCAGCGCCTTTTACTTTGACCTGGACAACACGTTGATTCCGACGCGGACCGGCGATTCCAAGGCGATCAGAAAGGTAAGTTAATAAGTTGATCTGGATCTGGATCTGGAAAACCCCCTCCCCCTCCCCCGCATCTCACACACACCATGCTTTTCCGGGGGGTGAAAGTGCGCAGCAGAGCTAGAAAATTTTCCACTGCAGCCCGCCTCCCGTTGTTACGTAGTCGAAAAACCCGGACGCTCAGCTGATAGCACGCGCCCGAAATTCGTTTGTTTATTTGCGTTTTCTTTCGCTTTCCTTACGCCACACCACCCCAAAACCACCCAACCCCACCCCACCCCAAACAGCAAGTGCACTCTGCAAGGCCTTAACTTAAATATAACCACGGGTATATGCACTCTAGAAGGCTATCGGCATAACAAACCCAAAAATAAATCAAGTAACCCAAAAAGTATCAGTGGAAAATGGGGAACTTTGGTTTGATGGATCGTATCATAGTCATATAATGATAGTAAATGATGGTATATGCACTCTAGAAGGCTATCGGCATAACAAACCCAAAATAAAATCAAGTATCCATAAAAATATCAGTGGAAAATGTGGAAAATTGGTTGGATGGGATCGTATCATAGCCTTATTATGATAGTAAATGATGGTATATGCACTCTAGAAGGCTATCGGCATAACAAACCCAAAATAAAATAAAAAAACCCAAAAAATATCAGTGGAAATTGGGGAACTTTGGGTTGATGGGATCCTATCATAGCCTATTATATTATGATAGCAAATGAGGATAGCCCAAATTTAACAAAACTAAATTAAAAATAAATCAAGTAACCTAAAAAATATAAGTTAAAATTAAGTTAAGGTAATATTGATAATAAGTGATGATATCCCAGAGAGATATAGAGCTACGAAAACGGTAAAGCGTAAAGATTGCCTAGTCTTATAGTATCCTATCATATGCACTACAACTTTAATGCAACCACATGAATATGTAAAATCCCTCTAGAATGGCACCCAAACAAAGTCAAAGATTAATTGATGATAACGTAAACACAACAATGGGTATATGAACTTTAAGAGGTTATTGACATCTTAGCTATGATAACAAACAATACGAGACCCAAAAGCTTTTCCCTTGATTATTTAAATGGTCCTAAAAATATATTCGTGTTTATAGACGGCTTATTCCGGCATCTTAAAGGTTATATTTATTTATATATCCTCATCCTTCACCTTACTGATAATATCTTTTATTTACATTTCAAAAGCTTATTTTTGGAGATTTCAGGTTAAAGTGCAGTTAACAAAGAAATTGTTTTAGCTTTTGAAAGAAAGAAAATATTAGTACGTGTGGGGGTCATAAATATCTGGTTATCTCCATTTATCTTCATTATCTTCATAAAAACGAAAGTGATTTGTTGAAACCTGGAGTATGTCACGTACATTTACTTATAATTTGCAATTCTGATAATATAATAATCTTTTAGGCTGAGTTCAAGTAGATAGTTAACTTCATTATCACCTTTGCGTTTAAATATGCCATGTGTGGAGACCCTAAATAAAGTCATGGTTATTAGACAGTTTCTTTATTCAGTTGCTTTCAATTATTATCTGGCGGAACCACACCCATTTGTATTTCCGAAATTCATTAAACGTATCAAGTTATTTGCGGCAATTATGATGTTTTCAACTCTTGCTGATCAAGCTGAATTCGCTATATTTATTAACGTCTTTTACTTTTTAATTTTGATGAACTTAAGGAAAAAATTCGATTTAAAAGAAGATTATTTCCCCTAATAGTTAGCTGGAAAAAGATAACCAATGGAAATTTCCGAGCTATCATTGCGACCATAACTGTAGACCCTATATTATATGCACTATATAACATTGATATGACATGTGTATCGGCGGCAACTGCAGTTTGATGATCTATGCACTGATAGGGCGGCGTTCCTATAATGATTACGGCATTACGTTCGATTAATCAATTGCTTTTGATTCGATCGTATGATTGGAGTGAGCGCAATCTAAAGCTTAATTAAGATATTTGCAGACGCAATAGTTGGGATTTACGTATTATTAAATAGCCCTCAATATTTGCATAAGTTTTAATCAAGAACTATATTTAATCTTTTAATATGTAATCAAAACTAAATTCAAGATCGATACATATAAATATGATGACTTTGAAAATAGGAAATAGGAAATGCCTATACTATCATGAATCTTAGAATGTAATTAACTTTTACCAAAGTTCATTCAACTGGTTCTTCACTTTTTAAGGAGTGAACAATTTTTAACTTATCTCGACTTTATATAATAAAAGGTATTTATATTTTTATCTCTTCCAACGGGAAAGGTTTTTGTGGCATTATCATATCTATAAAGCGTATATATCAACCTTATTGATATTTTTACCCTTGCAGATAGGGTATTATAATTATATGATATAGTTGCCATGGGAACGATTGAAAAATTAAAAGGAATATAAAATACTTAACTTATTTTTAACTTAAAAAAATCATAAAGCTATTATTTACACCGATAATGTAATATTATATGAATTAAATGATTGATGTTGTTAGATATAAACTTCGACTTTCAAAAGAAATATTTCTTTCTTGTTTATTTTTTTTTATTTCACATTAAATTAATACGGTATTTAAATTTAAATTTAAAATATTTATATTTATATAATTATTATATATAAAATAATACAACAAAATATAATAAAATAACACAAAATATTTTATTGGGCTATGAAGAATTAAGGATGTCTGAAAACTAAATTTTGACTTTAAATCTAAAAATATAAATATTTTATAAAATAATAAAATAAAATATATGTATATTATTTTAAATATAAAACAATAATACAAAATATGTTATTGGGGTATGAAGAATGTCTGAAAATTCAATTTTGGTTTAAGATTTAAATATATAAATATTTTATAAAACAATAAAATAAAATGTATATAATTTAAAATATAATACAATAATACAAAATATTTTATTGGGTTATGAAGAATTAAGGATGTCTGAAAAGTCAACTATAGCCTAAAATTTAAAAATATAAATATTTTATAGAATATTAAAATAAAATCTAAATAATATAATTAAATAATAAAAAATATTTTCCCATTTACTCCTCAGCTTGCCGACGTTTTGGAGAGTCAGTACCAGTTCAATAAGGATGACGCCGCCCAGTGCACCCAGAACTTCCTGAAGGCCTTCCGGCGCTGTCCGGACAACACGCAAACGTCGCTGGACTCGTGGCGCACCCACCTGTGGCGCGAATCCCTGCCGGCGCGCCACAAGCACCTGGCGGAGCAGATCTATCCGCAGTGGCTGAAATTGCGGTATCGCTACCTGGCAGTTCCGGCGGACTATGTCCAGCTGCTGCTGCGGATGCGCCAGGCGGGCTATGCCCTGGCCCTCATCACCAACGGGCCATCGAATGCCCAGTGGGAGAAGGTGGCCAAGCTGCATGTGCGCGGCTACTTCGACTGCGTCCTGGTCTCCTCGGATCTGCCGTGGGAGAAGCCGCATCCGGAGATCTTCTATGCCGCCTGCAATTTCCTGAATGTCAAGCCGCAGGAGTGCGCGATGATCGGTGACAAACTGGAGACCGATATTATGGTGAGTTGAGGGTTTATTCTCCGTCATATTTAACCAACTAACTGGGTTTCCTTGTTGTCCTTCAGGGCGGTCACTTGGCCCAGCTGGGTCTCACCTTCTGGACGCCGCTGAGCAACAGCAGCTCGGCCTCACAATCGCTGGAGGATGTGGAGTACAAGCCGCACGTAAAGTTGGCCAATCTGCTCGAGATGTACAAGTACTTTCCGCGTCTCAATGCCGTCGCACCGCCTGATACGCCGTCGACCTCCAGGCGACGTGGCAGCCACATGAGTTCCAGCAGCGGCCAGAGCTCCACCAGCGGGAGCAGCTCAAGCTCGAGCTGCGAGCCGGGATACCATCACCATCTCCACCAGCAGCAGCAGCAGCAGAGGCAGTGGCTCTATCGACGCGGCGTTTCACTGCCCGCCATGGATTGCTCGAATAGCGAGGCGGAGAATAGCTGCGATAGCTTCCTCTAAACGGAGGGCAGGAGGATCGGATTTAAGGGATCGCAAGGATCGCAAGGAGATTGTTGAAAAATGTACCTTCAGTTTACAAAACTATAGCTAAAGAGGAAGTAATAATCACAGATGGACGAGGAAGGACAGCCAGGAGAATTGGAAACGAATGCAGGAATTTAAAGTTCAACTATTAGCGGGAGGAGCCCGGAACCACGGTGAATCTCGATATCTGCCATTAGACTAAAATTAAGGCTAGCAACACAGCATCGGAGCACACAGAACTACAGCATACAAGTGCTATAAACTACAAACTACAAATTACAAATTACAAAGGGAATAATTAAGAAAATCGAGGACAGGAAGCAATGCCAACCAATATAATAATATTTTTCTAAGCGAATTTTCTGTCACATATTTTGTAAATTGATATAACACGCAACTTAAAGTACGTCAAGGTAAATGCAAAACTCAAAATGCTAAAAAAAAGTGAAAACCAGACAAAAACCACAACACAAATCTTTTGAGACACTGACAAAACAAAAAAAAATGAACAAAAATAAGAAAAACTAACAAATCTGTAGTTATAGCGATGGATGTACGTGAATGTTAACTATTGTCTTAGTCGTAGCCTTTAGTCGGGTACAACACTCTGTTGGCAAATTGTTATTTGCAACCACCCCCTCCTCCCCCTTTACCCATGACCCCCCCCCCCACCCCGCCCACGAACCCCAGGTTACTCCGCACCCACGCGAAAAGCATCGTTGATGATATATACGGCACATATGGTATGCCAGCATGCGTATGTCGAAGCACTGTTGATCATGGATATGGAAAATAAATGACACTGCAAAAGCTAAACCCAACGGAGTTTTAATTCTAGCTATAAACTTTTGGATATATAGGAGATTTTGAAATAGAGCTTTAAAAAAATATCGACAGTTTGCTATTTCTCGATATTAAATTTGTGTTTTCTCCTCAAAACATCGATATTATCGAATCTATATTGTCAAAATATCTAAAATATCGATAATTTTTTAGCTCTTTTTTAAAATTGGATTATAATAGGTCAAGATAATATTTAATCTTTTATTTGGAAAGGGAAAATGCTGAAAAGTGCACAACAAATTTAATATAATATAATTGTATAGCAGGAAATTACAAAATAATCTTTTAGAGATATGTAGAATATCTTTTAAAAGGGTAATATTATAGTATGGACTCTAAATAGGATAGGGAATTATAAGGTTTTTGTATAAAATGTAAAATTCTTTCAATAAACTTATCCTAAAAATAAGCTATTAAATTCATATCTATAACTTGCAACTCTAATCGACATCTATAGGCAATCTTTCATCTCTTTCTAAAGCATGCAATATCAAAAGATCAGTTTACTTATTTTCCGTTTAATTTCCCATACGAATTAAGGTAAAAACATGTTTCGTTTTAATCATAGTAAAATAAGCTTGATTTGTTTTTTATTTATTTTGGGGTTGTTGTTTATAGACTACAAATACGCTATACGGTAAAATGGTATATCGCTTGCAGAGTTAGCAAATAAAAGTTATAACCAACACTGAATTTTCGCAGTTTAATGCTAACGTCAACTGGCTGTATAATTGTTTGTTGTGTTGTGTTTGTTGTTTTTCTTCTCACATATATACCATACATACATATACACACACGGTTATACATATACATATATAATTATAATCAAAGTCACGTACACGTAAAAAAAAATCGGTTACAAATTACACATGTCTCAAAAAAAGTCGACAAACATTGAAAGAAACATTTTCACGCGATATTGAAAATTCGGCTGGCTAGCTAGGCTTGCTCTTGGCTTTTCTTAAGTTCGATATTTTTTACGCTTTTAGTTTCTTTTATCTTTTACAAAAGAGCACTTTTCAGACTACAAAATACCCTAAGAACCTTTTACTGGAAATGGATTATACATAGATAATGGACAAAAAGAATAAGAAAACGTAACGTAACATAACATGGAGTAGTTGTTTGTTGTTTTTTGAAAAGGTTGTTGCTGTTATCGTAGTAGTTAATAGCAGTTGTTGCTGTCGTCATAGTATAGTAGTAGTTATCGTTTCCGTAAAGCATTGTACAACTTTTCCGCTTAAGTGTTAAACCGATGGTTCACCCATCCTACGTCCTACGCCCATCTGATCTCATCTCACTCCAGGATTGGCCGTGTTAGTTGCTCTGGCTTTCTCGTTTAGTTGCGTGTCGCATTGCCCGCATATATCTCCTCGATCTTTTTCCTGCGCTTCGTGAGCAGCGGATTGTTCGACTTGTCCAGCGCCTTTATTTGCATCTGAAAGATACGGATTATTAATAAGAATAATGGGATATATTTTGGTTGAACATCAAGTAATAATCAAGGTATTGCAAGCACATTAACCTCCCAGTTTCTGGTTAGTTTTTATAATTAGTAACTTTCCAAATCACGATTGAAACAAAAAAAAAAGCAGGTAAAAAGTATACTTGCTAATTGCTTAGGCATAGACAAATGGAAATCTATTTTCTCATTAGATAAACAAATGAACTAAGAAGACTACTAGTGATTAACATTATATAATACAAAGGGAATTTAATTTAAAGCAACCAGAAACCGGAAGAAGAACCACACGCACCTGATCGTAGTCCACGCGCATGGTAGCCAGCGATCGTGTCATCTCCTCCTGCACCTCCGGCCAGGTTTCCTCGCCCTCCTTGAGCATCCGGCCCGTGCAGAGTGGCGTCTGCGGCACCGCATTGAACTGGGCGATCCACTTGTTCCGGATGACGTCCTGGATGCGCAAACGCTTGCTGGGATCCACGTTCAGCATGCCCTTGATCAGATCCTTGGCCGCCGGGCTTACGTTCGTCCATTCCGGATCGGGAAAGTCATACTGGCCGGTGCGGATGCGCTTCTTCATGCCGGGCGAAATGGCCAGGCCGTGGTTGCTGTAGAAAGGCGGGAATCCGCACATTATGATGTACATCACCACGCCCAGGGACCAGATGTCACAGCTCTTGTCATACTTCTCGGGACCCAGGACCTCGGGAGCTGCAAAGTAAATGTGTGATTAATATGGGAATATTTAGGAAATAAAACAATAATATTTATAGAATTAATTTAGAGTTACTGGGTAAACTAATTTTTATTTTTAATTAAATATAAATATTTTTATTCATAATTTTTCAATAATTCTAATTCCTAATTGTATTAAATTGTATTAAATGTTAGTTATAAGTGTAAAACTCTAATATACGTAGAGACCCACATATTTTAATTATTCTTAATATGGTTTTTGTAACAAGTGCATTAATTTATTTAATTAATTAAGATTTATTGGGTAAACTAACTTTTATTTTTTATATTTTAAATTAAAAATAAATATTTTTATTCATAATTTTTCAATAATTCTAATTGTTAATTGTATTATATTGTTGTAAATGTTAGATATAAGTGTAAAACTCTAATATAAGCAGGGACCTTCATATTTTCATTATTCTTAATATTGTTTTAGTGACTAGTGTCTTAATTTATAAGGAAATCCTTGTAGCACCAGGAAATAAAAAATATAAATTTTTATAGATTTATGGGCCATATTTAATTCTAATGAACTAAGTTATCCGCCGTGTTTTTTAACTCCGCCTTTTTCACATTTCTTGCTAATTGAATCGGTCGCACTTTGCAACTTTCGAACTTTTAAATAAAAAATAAATAACTAAATATAATTTTTCAATAATATAGAATTTTATAGATTTATGAGCCTTATTTAATTCGAATAAACTAACAGTTTTTTATCTCCGCCTTTTTCACATTTCTTGCGAATTAAATCGGTAGCACTTTGCAACTTTCGAACGACTCAAGTCTTTCGCAATGAGATTGGGAACAAGGCTGAATAAAATTAAAGCAACTCCAAAGAAAGTTCCCACAATAAAGTATGTAACGAGGGTGCAGTGGGAATTTAGAAACAACTAGTGGTGTTTAAATATATAAATCAATATAACAGCCATGCAATTTGCGGCCTTAAAAATGACATGGCACCATTATAAATGGGCAAACAATTTTAAAGCTATTTTTAAAGGGAGCAGTGGGAATTTAGAAACAACTAGTTTAGGATTTTACTATCAGCTTCTGTGGTGTTTAAATATATAAATCAAAATTTCTGACATGCAATTTCCGGTCTCAAAAATGACACGGCACAATTCTAAATGGGCAAACAATTTTAAAGCTATTTTTCGTGACTAATGCGGTAATTGACATCCCATTAAACTAGTGACTGATGCAAAATCCCTTCCAAAAAGCACTCACCCACGTAATAGGGAGTGTAGCAGGGCGTCTGCAGCGTGTCATTGGTGAATGTCTCCTTGGCGAAGCCAAAGTCCGTCAGCTTGAGGATCGCATTCGGCTGTGAGGTGGTGTACAGCAAGTTCTCCGGCTTCAAGTCGCGATGTGCGATATCGCGACTGTGCAGATAGTCTATCGCCGCGCAGATCTCGTGCATTATTTGGGCAGCCTCGCGTTCGGTGAAGGCCCCATCGGCCTTGTCCTGAATCCTCTGGAAGAGCTCGCCGCCCTCCATGCACTCCATGACCACCAGCAGGCACTTCCTTCCACTATAGGTGTTCTCGTACACATCGATGATGTTCACAATGTGCCGACAGCCGCTGACCCGCCAATGGAGATCCACCTCGCGGCGCGCCTTCTCGTTATCCAGCAGCACCTTGAGGGCATAGTTCTGTTTGGAGCGACGGTGGGTGCACTGCACCACCTTTCCGTTGATCCCGAGGCCCAGAACGGTGTCCGAGATCTCGTAGTCGTCCACCAGGGCGGTGGTCTTGGGTTGCCGTTGGTTCTGCAGCGAAAGCATTCTGGATTCGGCTGGGGTCTAACTGCAAATCAGTAAAATATAGATTAGTAAAATACAATTAATTGGGATCTTAAATGATTATCTATATATTTATCAAAGTTCTGAAATGGGTTGATCACTTATTAAAAACTTAAAAACATAAATTATTCAGAAATACCATAAAATGGTTGAAACTGCAGAGGAGAAATTAGTGAAAGATGGATTAGTAAAATACGATTTGTTGGAATCTTAAATGATTATCTTTATATTTATCATAGTTCTAAAACGGGTTGAGCACTTATTAAGAACTTAAGAACATAAATGATTCAGAAATACCCTAAAATGGTTGAAAGTTTATAATTAGAATTGTCATTATATTTATGATCCAATAGTATGTATTGTTTTTTTTAATTGGTTTAAATATTTAAATATACTGAATTTGTTTACTATTTAACTAGTTAGCTAATTGTATCAAATTTGTTTTTAATTAAACATATCTAAATAAACGTGACAGTCATTATAGGCCTGATGGATCACTAAATAATCCATTTCTAATTCCATTATTCAAATAGATAATACTGAAATACTTTTAGTGAACTGCTTTCAACAAACCTGACCTTAAATTTATTTCATAATTGCAATACCCCTTCCACATAATAATTAAAAAAAAAACAAATTTTGGCCAACAATTTATAGCCAAATTATTTGTTTCACGATTTTCGTGCTCATTGAGAATCTAAAAAGGTAGCTACCCTGAAGCAATAAATTTTATTTAATTATTATCTTTTGAAAAAGTATAGTTTATTACTGGTTATTAATGTAAAGTTCAGTTAAGCTAGGTGTGTGGCAATAGAGCTTTTTAATTACATACTGGCAATTTAGTTTACCGAGCAAATTGTTAGGGGATTCCCGCTCTATTCCACAGCTCCCCTTTTACTCCAGTTTGTTTTTTCTATATAAAAAACCAGTGACATCAGGTTTTCAAGCCCGCATTTTGAATAAAACAAAAAGTATAAAAAGAAGTAAATGTATGTAGAGGTAGTCTAGCAGGGGAAAATACTTTAAAAAGTGTTCTATTAGTTAAACAAAAAAAAATTATACTTTCTACATATATTGAAAGATTTTTATATAATAATTTTCATAGATAATTTCCTGAGGATAGGTACATAGATATGATAAGGATATTCCAATAACTATATCGATCTTTTTCAAACATTGTTTCAATCATAGACCAAAATTTTCTTAAAAGATGGATATACTTTTTTTTAGCGTGTACAGAACGAGAATAAAAAGTTGCACTTTTTAGTTCTCCGGGCTTTTGTATATAAAATATGCAGATCCGAAAACCTCGAAGCGCTCCGATCTCGACGATTCAAATTGCATGCAAATGGACTTACAGAAAGGCAGAAACAAAAAAATATCTAGAAAGTCAGGGGTGGGGTGGGCTAATTAATCCCACGCTCGCTGCATATTTCCATGTTTTTCCTTTTTCCGGGGAAAAAAACGTTACACAATTGTTTTTTTTGTCGCTTTTTCGGGGAAAACAGGAAAACGGTGGTAATTGCATATGTTCGCCGCGCTATCGGTAATCGCCAATATCGATAGGCGGGTGTATACAGAGTGCGTTTGTGTGCGTGCGCTGCTGATGAAATAAATGCTTCATTTTGTTTTTGTTTATTTTGAGCACATTACGCATTGCCGAAAAAAAAACTATTTTTTTTTCTCTCCCGTAAAATCGGTTAATTAACGCGTATTTTACTGCCCACACGCACACCGCGAAGCCCGCGCGCACACACAAACACACACACTCACACGAATGCAAACAATGCGTCATGTTTTCCCACTGTTTAACTAGTATTTCCTAGTTTTCTGGTTTTCACTGTACACGGCAGTACGTTTTTTATCTTGTTATCGCTCTTCGATCGCCTTCAGGTGGCCCAGATTTTTCCTGGCCACGCGCAACGATTTATCCGCTTTTCCCTTCGGATATATCTCGATTTACAGCGCCCGCATTATCACCTGCTGTTCAGCTGATCGTATTTACCTTTCGGATATTTATTTTAGCGTGCTATGTAACGGAACGGAAAAAAAGAACAACAACACAACCAAGAATTTATAGTTATAGCTATATAGCTTTATTTGTAAATTGGAGCTGGGTCGACTGGCGATAACTGTCCCGCGATAGTATCGATACAGGGAATATTTCACTTGTCGATAGTAGGCGATGGTGCTTTCACGATAGGTGTAGCATTTTTTAAGCTTTTTTTGTGCATTTATTCACATTTTAAAAATGCGCCGGCACATAGAAATTAGTGGCAATTTTGTCTAGGAAAGGATAGTAAAAGTACTAACAAACTGTATAAAGTCTTATTGGCCATAATGAAATAAGATTTTAGGAAATCGAACAATTTTTATACGACCATATTCCTTTTTCCCAAAAATTAAAAAAAGTGACTCTAAATTTCTCCAAGTGTTCATGCAACACCCTAGTAATCTTTAAATACAAACTAAAAAATATTTACAAACTCTTTTTTGTGTCCTATCTCAAGACTATCGAGTACTTTGCCCAGCAACGGCGAAACTATCGAACCACCTGACCATCGCTGTTTGGCCATCGCTAAAAAAAAGTGGTGCAAAAAGTTGGCTTAAATGTTGTTGCCACGGCCAAACTGACGATGCGCCGCGTCCGCTGAGCCTCGTGTCCGCACCCGTGAGATCCGTGACCCCCAGATCCGTGCTCTGGGCCACCCGGAGAACCTGCAGAAACCCACAGAGACCCCAAAAGTCGCAGAGTTTTCAGTTCGTTTTGCAGTTGGTTTGTATTGGCCGAGCGAAGCAAACAAACAAGCGCACAGGCGCATCGGAGATACATCGGATAAAAAGGATAAAGCCCCCCGATTCGGAGCAGGATCAGCAGCGCGCCATGTCGCAGGTGCTGCTCAGCCCCCGCAAGCAGGGCGTGGCGGAGGCGGAGGGGCTGGACTACACGAACAGCAGCTCGATCATTGAGTTTCTGGCCAAGGAGCAGGATTGCGGCGGCCTGCTGACGGACCCGGATCCCGAGTCCATTTTCCAGGAGGTCAGCCGCCTGTCCGACAGCACGGACATGCGATCCGTGGACGAGCTGCTGCAGGAGGCCGAGCGGCTCATCCAACAGCAGTTGCGTCTGGGCGGGATGGCCCAGGAAAAGGAGAATCCCAAAGCCAAAGCCGAAGAACCGGCAGCAGCAGCTGGAGCCCCCGGTGATGGCTGCTCCTCCTCGTCCCCGCAATCCTCGCCGCACAGCAGCATCCGGCTGAATACACGCTACACCCATCGGATCGAGCATTTGCCCCTGGCTCCTCTGCCGCCAAAAGCACCAATAGCCGGCTGCAATGGCAAAGTTCGGCCCAGATCCGGCTCCAAGTCGTCGGCCTCGCCCACTTCCGTGCAGACGCCGCTCGATAGCAGCTCGAATGGCTGCGGCTTTGCCGCCTTCGTGGACAACCTGCCCTCCGAATCGGTCATTTCCGAGGAGTCCACGCCCAAGGACATGGACATGGAGAACCGCACGGCGGCCATGGCGCAGCTGCAGCTCCAGCTGCAGGACAACACCGACGACGACGAGGATACGGTGAGTACTTAGCCAGGCTTATTTTATATTTAGTTCTATTTATTCCTTAAGTTCGGGATATTTCTATAATTTAAGATTAATTAATTGGTGATTTTATGGAAATAAAATTCTATGAAATGGATATTTTTATTGCTAGAATCCTTCTTCTTTTGAAATCTTTTATTTATCTCCTGAATTCGGGATATTTCTATAATTTAAGATTTATTAGTTGGCGATTTTATGAAAATCCTCTTTTTAGAGATAAAGTACAATAAAAGTTTTTGAAAAGGATATTTCTTGCTAAAATCCATCTTATTTTAAAATCTTATATTTATCCCCTAATTTCTGGATATTTCTATAATTTAAGATTAATTAATTGATAATGACCAAAGTCTTCCAAAAAGGATATTTTTAAAATCCACCTTCTTTTGAAATCTTATATTTATCCTCTGAATTAAGATTATTTGATTAGTGATTTTATGGAAATCCTCTTTTTGGAGATAAAGTACAGTATTTGAAATCTTATCCCCTGGTATCGGGATATTCCTATACTTTAAGATTATTTAATGGTCTATCTATAAAAATCTCTTTTTGAGATAAAGCACAATAAAAGTCTTTGAAAAGGATATTTCTTGCTAAAATCCATCTTCTTTTGAAATCCCCTGAGTTCGGGATATTTCTATATTTTAAGATAATTTAATTGGTCTATCTATATCTTTATCTCTTTTTGAGATAAAGCACAATAAAAGTCTTTAAAAATGATATTTCTTGTAAAAATCTATCCTTTTTTTTTTAAATCCCCTAAGTTCTGGATATTCCTATATTTTAAGATTATTTAATTGGTCTATCTATAAAAATCTCTTTTTGAGATAAATCACAATAAAAGCCTTTGACTGCAAAAGGATATTTCCTGTTGAAATCCACCCACTTTTGTATTTCATCTTTAGATTGGAAATATTTCTCGGGGAAATCCTACCTTTTACCACCCAAATAAGTTCATCCAAGCGATCTGTAGTAATAAATAGCGTAGATTCGTTTATTGTCCGCCGTACAGGATTCCAAGGATACAGCAGCCCACCCAAGCACTCACTCTCATTTCCATTTCCATTCTCGCAGTCACCAAAACAGACAGACAGGCACACAAACAAACATAAATAATCCTTCAGACACTCGCACACAGTTCAGGCACACAAGGTGGTGGGGCAGGGTGTAAAAAAAAGAGCAACAGAGATTGCAAATTACACCGGAATCTGGTGGAGATTAGGCGGCGTTCAGCCGGACGAACTGGGTCCGATGGCCTGGGCCACCGTTTCCGCCACTGTCCAGCCCTCCAAAGCCGTGTCCTTGATGAAGCGCGGCGGCAGGACGAAGCCGTAGGCTCCGCGATCTCTCAGTTCAATGGTGTACACGTATTTGACGCCCAAAGCGGCGCGGCTCCAGTCGTCCGAACCGCCGCCTGCGATGCCCAGGACCTCGTGGGTAACGGCCGCCCGGTACGAGGTGCCCGTCTTCTGGACAATTCGCTCGGCCGCCAAACTCGCCACTCGCTGCAGGACACTCGCGTCCTTGACCTTGACCGCCTTGTAGGCCCACGGATAGACAATCATCTGGCCGTAGCTGTGGAACGTCAGGTACGATTCCAGATTGTACTTCCTCTTGGCCAAGAACTCGGCCACCGCACGCGTTTCCCGCTCCGAGGCTGGCGAGGATCCGCGGTAGGTGTCACTGCAGGGATTCGTCGACGAACCATAGCCATTCCAGCCTATATCGAAGTTCCGATTGAGATCCACACCGCTGCACTGGGCGCGTCGCGATGGCGAGCGATTCTTGCGCCACAGGCGATTCGTCGTCCGGCTGTACTCGTAGCCATCGGGATTCATCACCGGCATTATGTACCAGGTGAGGCCGCGGATGTGCGCCGGCTGGTTCTCCCAGTTGGACATCAGTTGGTACAGGATGAAGGTCACCGTCGCCGGACTGATCCATTCGCGGGCGTGGATGCCGCCGTCGATCCAGACCTTCTTGTTCTCCCGGGGATTCTCCGAGATCCTAAGGGGATATATCAATAGTTGAGATTAGGAAGGGAGGATAATAAATAGATTAGTGGATTGAAATAAGGCTTTAGGGAAGATTTATTATTTTTTTTAAATTCTCAATGCCTAAAAGTAGGCCATATACTCCTGAAAAATATGTAGAATGCATTACTTGATTGCATACGTCTGGGCTTTTTAATGTAAATATTTTTTAATATTTCATTTATATAGTAGGTTTAAAGCCTTAAAATCGTATGAGAAATAAGAGTTTAGGGCTTCCTTTAAATTTAACAGGCTGACTAGAAAACGGCCCTTAAAGTAAATATTTTAAAATGCATTTCAGAAATATCATTTGCTTTTAATAAATTGTTTTAAAATACTAAGGTTTTAATATACTAATAATTTTTCTAAACTTGAGGTTTTGCACCTTAAAAAAATAGTTTAGTTAAATATTAAAAATGCCATAAATAAGCTTTCTTAAGCTATAAATGAATCAATTAGACCTCTTAACTACCTTCTGTTGTAAGGAACCTCATTTTCTAAGCTCAAAGCCAGAAAATAAGTGTTCTGTTCATCCTATACTAAACGATTTAATGGCGAAAAAAGGTATTATACCTAAACAATATTAGTTTCACCTACCTGAGCACTTTCAGATCACGACCCTCGGCCGATTGGCCAATGGTATACAATCGCACAATGTTGGGGAACTTGCTGCGGATCTCCCGCATAAAGCTATAGATGGTCTCCAAATCATGGTAGTCCTTCCAGTGCATGCTGCTCCTCGCGGCCTTTTCTGTGGGTTATCGTGAAATAAATATATTAAAAATTACAGGAAATTAGAGCTTGAACAAATATCAACAGTTTGCTATTTCTCGATATTTAATTTGTGTTTTCCTTTCAAAACATCAATATTATCTAAACAAAATATCGAAAATATCGATAAATTTCAAGCTCCACCTTAAATTATGTGCATGTTCAACTCCACTTACTCGTTCTCCGTCCGGAACCGAAAGAACTGCCCTGAATGCCTTCGAGCAGCTCCTCATCGATCATCGCTTGAATATTGCTGGACAAAATCTGGGGATCCAGGCGGTGGGCGGATAGAAAGCTGCGCGCCGCCTTCAGCTGATCCCTGGCAATGGAGATGTCCAGGAACTTGGAGTTCTCCTTCCAGATATTGCCGCCGAACTTTTGCTCCAGCATTTGACTGACGGGCACACGGTGTTGCATCGCCTCCGAGATGTTGTAGATCCTCCACAGTTGCGCCTCGTCGTAGCGCTGGGGAATCTCATTGACATTCAGCTGGGTGAGATTGGAGGCCAAACTGGCTGCTGTGGCTGCCATAAGGAGCAGCATCAGCAGTTGGGTTCTTTGCGTCATCTTTGCGGCGTTGTGGCTTCTATCAGCAGGTTGACCTGGAAAAGTAATTCCGCTATCAGTAATCAGCAATCAACGAGAGATGTTATCAGCTCCACTTAAAAGCAGCATCATTAATTAACTTCTGATCTGTGTTCAAGGAAAAACTAGCCATGGAAAACCCCAGTCTTTGGCCAAATATACAAATCGAAAGCTTTAACGAATGTCACGATTTTCATATTGTTATTTATGGACCTCTATTAAGCCTCTAGTTGCTAGCAACAAATGGTAATGACCATTGTTAAACTCTAAAGGTTAAAATAGTACACGCTTGTTTGGTTTGCATTAAAATCACACTGTTTATGACCAAGTGCTTGTTTTTTAGAAAACAAAACAAGCCTTGAATATGTCGTTTTTATTTACTATCTAAACATTTAACGAGCCAATTTGCAAATGGAAAACCCTGCTACTATACAAAATCAAAACTTTGTATGAAATTCCATCTATAAATGGGTTTTAATTTCAACCTTGTCAATAGCTAAGATTTACGTTTAACAGCAATTTAAATGGAACCAATCGAACATCCAACTAGGCCGCTCAAATATCTAGAACTGAATGCAAAACGAAACTAAAAGCAAACTCCAACTGGTATCAGAGAAAATAATTGTTACAGAAAAAGTTCGTCTAATTACCGGCAGCAACACAAAAAAAATACAAAAATGTTTCCGTTTCATTGTTAATGGTTAGGGTTATCTAGATGTGTGAGTTACTCGTAACCCTGTTTTTTTGTGTTTGTCATTGCCAATAATAAATTAAAAACAGTTGATAGCGTTAATAGTTTTGCAAACGTTTTAATGGAGTACACGAGTTTTAGAATCGTATCGCTTTTAATAGCTTATATTCTAAAAATGGAAATTGAATTATTAAATTGAAAATTATCGATATTTTCGATACTTTGACAATTTCGATTCCATAAAAGAAATGAAGAAATAGTAAACTGTCGATATTTATTGAAGCTCTAATTCAAATACCTTCAATTGGAAGTTAAAAACTGTTCATGATTTTTATGATAATCAATACAATTTTGTATTCTTTTAAACCAATTTTCGATTTCTCTTTCAAGAATTAAAAATAATTTGGGAAGTTGCTTTAAAGAAAGGTATTCAAAAAGTTAGTATTCAATAGGTATCAAAATAATCCAAAATGATTATTTGATCAGTTTGATTTTCAGTATACAAACGAGCCACTCAACGAATTTGCATCGTTTTACGGATTCCAGTGGCGACCGATCGATCGGTTGTTTTAATCATTCGATCCGTCAGTTCCCTGAATTCCCGCAGTTCCGGGGGCGTGGGGCTTATTGTTTTTGATTTTATTGACTCAATCAGAGTTTCGTGTTTATGTACATATGTTCTCGCTGTTTTGTATGCACAGTGATAGATGGAATGACTGCGTACTGCGTCTTAGTTACTAGTTCCCTAAGATCTAGATTTTGGGCAAAGAAACTTTTCCTGGTCTTCTTACCGATTTCGAAACGCCGTTTTTAACGCTTCTGTGCTAATTTCCCTGGCCCGTTTTTTTTTTTAGGTTTTGTTTTCATTTCGGTTTTTTTTTATGGATGCGTATTTGTATTTTCGTGTTTATTTTCTTTTTATTGCCAGGCAGAAAGTGGCACTTGAACGATGGAGAGGGTCGTGTGTCTCCGTTTCTCCGAGTCTCGTAGTCTCCGAACTCCGAGAACTGGTTCTCGGTCGGATTTGTCGGGCCTCGAATCTCAGATCTCCGATCTCCGATCTCGGGAGTCGAATGTGGAGTACAAACACAGTTTCGGATTGGGTTTCAATCCGCTGCTGTTCACCTCGACCTTCGTGCCCCCCGTTCTCCTTCCATTATCCATTATCTCAGTCGTTTATACCTGCATTTCATTCCGAAATGTAAACAGTTTAAGAATACTCAAGCTATGAAACAAACATTAAGTTTAACTTTGAACCTCTACGTTTTGAATTTTAATTAAGTTTTACTGACTAAAGATCTTAAGATCTTACTAAAGTGTTGTAAACTTTTTCAATCTTAGATATATTTATTAAACTATATTTCGAAATTTCAACATATGAACATATTCTGAGAAGATATAATAAGATAAAAATTATTATTTCAACAACTAAGAGACGTGTAAACGAAGGCGAAGAATGTTTCACTTAATTTTTTTTATTTTGACACTTTCAACAAAATAAAAAAATGGACTAAAGACATCGAAATTATAAACTTGTTCCGTTGAGTGCCCAAAAAATGAAAACCAAAACCTGTTGTAAAATGAAGCCGGTGCATTTTGCACTTCCTCATTCGCTGTAACAGCTCTAAATACTTTTATTTTTATGTAATTTTGGAAAATGAAGGCTTTCTTTTTTATTATCATTGAAACCTTCTTTCTTCTAATAGTACTTTGGGTTTTTTTTAACTTTTACTTTTTAGATTATATCGATCAAAAATATTCTTTTAATTCTATCCTCCCTTTTACAATTATGCTTTTTTATTTAAATTAATTTGGAAATCTTTTCTTTCTTTTATCAAGAATCGTAGTTCTTCTTGTGCATCCCAGAATGAAATTGTTCACACTATTTACTCCAGAATGAATCCCCCCTTTTATAAGCCTAATTCTTCTGAAAGCTCGCATATTTTTTACAGACTGAAAATGCATTCTTTATCAATTATCCTCAATCTTGTATATTTTTCTTCTTTGAAAAATCTCGGCTCTTATTCTCCCACAGTCTTTACCTCGTTTAAGAGGAATTCTCCCTTTTATCTTTGCATACTTCCTTAATTTTTTTTACATTCTCCACCCTTGATATATTGCAAATCTTCCCTAACCCACCCCTCTTTCTTCTGCGGTATTCCTACCAAGTTCCTGCAGTTGCAGTCTTTCTCCTTCGCTTTCCTCTCCCTTTTCTTCTGCAACCTTCGCGCTTTCTTTGATTAACTTCCAGCTTTCTTCCGAATTCTTCTCCCCGTTCTTCTATATTCTTCTCTTGAGTTTTTGCTATTCTTTTTTCGTTTTTGCTTCATTAGGTAGTTTAGTTTATTATTTTTGTGCTTTTCACTTTTTTTCTAAAGTATTTAGTTATTTTTTCACTTACTGTTTTTTGTTGTTGTTTGGGGATGCTCTTTTGGTTCTTCTTCCTCCAATTGCCGGCTCTTCGGGAGAGAGTGCAATTCGCGAATGTGTGTTTGTGTGTGGGAGAGAGTGTATCGCTGCCTGAGCTTCGAACTTCGACTAAAGGCTGCTTGTATGCGCTTCAATTTTATATTGCCGCTCTGCCGGCGCAAGGGAGCCGTTACCCCAAAAAAAAAAAAACAATTTAAAAAAAAATCGAAAAAAAACACAACAAACGAAACCGAGAATTACAAAACAACAACAACAAAGGGGAACCCAATAGTGTGTTGTAAATTTTTGCGCTGACCGACGACCGATCTTTAAAGCGATCGTCGCGTAAATGGAAATTGGAAATGGAAACGGCAGCGACGCCGGCTGCGCAGCCGCAGAGGTGGCGGCAGCGAGAGAAGAGGAACAGCGGCGAGAGAGGAGCGCTGCTCCCCCGAATGCTCCACGCATTCGCGCTGTCTCTTTCTGGCGGCGGCCTGCATCCCATTCATGTGAGAGGGGGCCCGAGGGACAGGGACAGGGTGAGAGAGCGAGCCAGAATGCATGGCCCACGCCCACGCAAACAGCCATCTCCCTTGCACCCGCGACATTGACACTTTGACTCACTCACACACACACACCGAGCTGCACTCGAATGCATTTAACGGTTTTGCACCGGAGGCGCTGTCCACTTGCTAATCTATCATCTCAATAAACAAAGTGGTCAAAAAAGGGCATCATGAATCAGTCAATCTCAGTCTTGGAAATTCTTTTGGTCTTATCAGGAATTTCCAGCGATAAAAAGTGTGATTTTCCTAGCAGAATACTTCCGACATTTAAAGAAATTCTTTATTACTAACTGGTTTTAAAACCTACGTGCGCTGTCCATTTGCTAATCTGTTTTTTAAACAAAGAGACCAAAACATCATGAGTCACGGGCTTAGTCCCGGAATCTTAAGGAATTTCTTGTTAGAAATTTCCACCGAAGTTTTTTTACAATTTCTAATTAGGAATTCCTTTAAGTCTCGAAATTGAATTTTTGTTATCAGCAATTCGAAACGAAAATAATATGTGAGATCATTTAAGAACTTACTTTGTTATGAACTGGTTTAAAGTCCCATGGGGCCTGTCCAATTGCATATTTGTTTCTTTATTTTTTAAAGTGATAAAAACGTGTGATTGACCATGAGTCACGAGTTCAAACACGGAATTCTTCTTTCTTGTAATTGGGAATTTCCAAAGATGAGAAATTCTGACTTCCAATCGCAGAATAATCATTAATTTTTAATGACCTTTGTTTAAGATTGTCTTTATTCATTTTTTAAGTATTCATTACACAGTAAATGACTTAGAAAAGTAGTTAATAAGCAAATGGCGCTAATTGTAAGTTGTTTGGTGGAAATGTTTTTAGGTTTTAAATTTCCACATACTAATTCTATTTTTTAACTTATTTTTAACACATTTATTTACATTACATTAATTTTTTTTGTAGTGTTTTTCATCTTTTATTGATTGCAAATGGTTATCAGTGGAAATTCCCAGCGCATAAAAATGTTCATAGGAAAGGTGCAAAGCTGTCAGTCTCGACATTTGAGCTTATCTCATCATTAATCATCATAACAACCAATAAAAATTGCTCATTATGAAACATTAAGCAATGTAACGGAAATCCCAATAAAAAATTAAAAATTTACAACGGTTTGCCAAGTGTAATACGTACAAACATGTATTTCTATCTCTTTTCAAGAGCAGCTGATTTTTGAACACAAGTGCGATTGTAAATTGGATTTTCAATTGTATCACAAACCCAAAATCACCGCATGTGTGTGTTTGTTTAATGGATTGTGTGTGATTGTGTGACGGGGCGATTTTGACCCACTTGGCGAGTTTTACTTTCTTTCGCCTTTGATCGCCTGTCCCGCCCCCCTCCGCCCACACTTATTTTTTTTTTTGCCGCCAGGCATTATTTATTTTTTATTTGTTTTAGGCTTTTTTCCGCTGTTTCGCTGTTTTTTTTTGTGCCTTTTGTGGTACCCAGATTTTCACTTTTAACCCTTTTTTCGAGAGCTTGGCCCCACAATGGAAGATTTTTTCAGGGCACCTTTTTTGTTTGCTGCCAGTTCATTGATCAGTTAATGCTGAGTACACCAAGAAAAAATTTAGATATTTCTGTCTTAAAAAAAAAAGTATATATTTAAAAAATACATCAGATCTAATGTTTTGTGGAATAATATCATTAAAAAAAATTATTAATTAAAAAAAAAAAAATTAAATAGTATAGGAATCTTTGAAATTAAAACTGGATCAATAAGAATACTAGATCTAGAGACTAACAGATGAATATAATATAAAAAATTCTATAGAATATACTTTTGTTTAAGTTAGTAGTTGTGCTATTATTTCATTCTTTCTGTGTAGAATTTATTTATCGTTCTTTTTCTTAACGGTTTCTGTTGGCAAGGGGTTTTGTTTATCTATCTATTCATATTTTTTTAATAACTTTTTTATTTTTGGTTTTTTATTTTCTTTATCGCTTAAATCACTTTCTTCGGTAGCTGGAAGCTTTGACTTTGACTTTGGCGGCAGGCGGCGATGGCCGCGGGCCTTTCGCTTAATTTCTATATGCATGCACAAAATAAATCCAATCAAATATGCAACAACAAGATATAACAAAAAAAAAATAAATAAATAAAGCGGCAAGAGCTAAAAAAAAAAACAAACCATCGTAAGCGTTGTGGTTCGAGCTTACTGGTTTTTGAAACGCGATTGAAAGTGAAAGTTGGCGCTCGCTCCCGTGCTGCTCTCTTTCGCTCTCTATTGCCGCCCCTCTCTCTCTCTCAGCTTTCTATTTGCCCAGCTGAGCATTCTTCTTGGCCATATTCGCCTTTAGCCAGCTTTACATAAGATACTTCATGGATAATGGGATTTGGCGATATGCGCGATTGCAAAATCGTAAATCGAAATTGGCCGCGAATAAAACACGTGGTCCCCTAAATAACAGTTAATGGCTCTCCCTCTCGGTAACGAAACCCCAAAGAAGGGCCTGAACAGAGAAGAGCAGAAGAGCATGGCCCACTCTCTCCGAAGAATTCAATTTTTAGCCCACTTTTTGAAACTGTTCTACGCGGGAGCACATTTTGAAAAGCGCGCTCACTGAATTCATTCTCCACTTTGGAGAATTTATGTTTTGTTTTTGCCGCGCCTGAAAGTACTCTACAATTTTAATAATCGTTTTATATGAAAAAAGTATGCAGTTTTAGCTTGCGAATAAAATATTTGCGATACTTCTAAAATAAGCGTTTAAGATTAAATTGTAATTAGTTCAAGGCTTTTAAAATGTTTATCCTTCGCAAATTTATTAAAAGAATATCACACTATTTCATTGCCAAATTTTTAATGTTTTTAAAGAAATGGGTTTTTGGTTTAGAAAAATAATAAGAAAATTCATAACTTTCTTTAAAAAACCTTTTAAAAACATATTTAGGAGTGCCAAATAAATAACAAATGCCTTTCTTTTTAAAAAAGATAATAAGAAAATTCATAACTTTATTTGGAAAACCTTTTAAAAACATATTTAGCAGCGCCAAATAATTAATAAATGCCTTTCTTTTTAAAAAAATTGTTTTTATTGTTATAAAAAATTCACCCAAATATGGTTATTTTAGGACAAAATAATTTAGCTTTTTAAATGTAAAAGGCAGTTAAATACAGTTTTTCTTTTATAATTTTGGGAAAAGCCAACGCCAATAATCAGTTGCTCTCGCTGACTTATGGATAATGCATAAATATGAAAGAGTTAAGTGGCGAATCTACTGCAATTGCTGGGCGATGGTGCGCAGAAACTCGAAGACCTCCTCGCCGGACTCCACGATATAGTGCGGCGGCAGCAGATAGCCGTAGCGTCCCTGATCCTTGAGGAACATGTTGAACACCATCTGTGGCTCGATGCGATCCTGCACCCAATCCGCCGAATTGCCCGGTCTCGCCAATTTCTGGCGATAACTGGTGCCCGCCGAGTATTCAGCCTGGTTTAGTCGCCTCAATGCGAGAATAGCCCGCCTGGCCGTCTGCTTGAGATCCCTCTGGTTCTCCGTCACATAATCCGCATCGCCCCAGGGATAGGTGATGGCCTGGCCATAGCCACTCAGCGAGACATAGGCGCCCAGATACTCCCGCATGCCCGAGAGGAAACTGCGCAGAGCTCGGCTTTCGGGCTCCGAGAAGCTCTGGGCTCCGCGATAGAGATTCTTGCAGGGATTACTCGTCGAACCGAAGCCGCCCCAGCCGTACTCGAAGTTCCGATCCAGATTCACGCCGTAACAACCGCTTTCACTGTCGTAGCCTCGGTTTTTGGTCCACAGGCGATCCGTGTGGCGGGAGTATTGGTAGCCATCCGGGTTGGCCATCGGCAGGAAGTACCAGTCAATGCGGCGCATCGCCTTCTCCGCCCGGCTCTGCCTCTGACCTTGACCTTGACCTTGGCCCGTGCCCTTTGGCCTGCCCCAGAGGTGGGTCAGCTTGGATATGGCGTAGGTCAGGGCGGCGGGACTCAGCCAATCCCTCGCCTGCAGTCCCGCATCCACGAATACCGCCCAGTTGTCCGGATTGCCATTGGAGACCCTTGAAAGAGCAAAAGAAGTTGAGTTCTTTGAAATTTGTAGCGATTTAAAAAAGTTTATAAGGAATATGTCTTACTGAATGAAGAAAAACCTTAGTAAATTCAGGGATTTAATATTTAATTCAAATATTTTACGCTATGTTTGAAAATATTAAATGTAACAAATAAAGTTCATTTAATTTCCTACCTTTACTCAAATTTTGAATATTTTTGGTATTAAATATTACGTTTTTTGTATTTAATTCAAAAATATGTAGTTTAAATCTTTGATTTTAATATACAAATAATTATAATTACCATTGCATATTTGATAAATTTTTAAGATGTATTTCAATTCCTTAAAATTATACTTTTAGACACATTTTAAAGTGATTTTTATAATTGTTTAAAACAATTTAAAAAAGATCTTGAAAAAATATCGAAAGTTAGCTATTTATCGATATTTAATATGTGTTTTCCCTTCAAAACATCAATATTGTGAAAATATCGAAAATATCGATAATTTTCAAGCTCTAATTTAAAATCGCTTTTCTAACTCACCTAATGACCTCCAGAGGTCGCTTGTTGCGCGTTACCCCTATCTGGATTATTTCCACATTTTCCGAGTGGTTTTCGAGCAGCGTCTGCAGGAACTGCTGGATATCCGCGTGATCGTGATAACGCCGCCAGCTCATCAAAGAGCCCGGTCTTTCCATCCACGGCAGTGAGTTATTCCGCACCGAATCCAGTGGATGCTCCGCGGCCGGAACTTCCACGTAGGTCTCATCAATGGCCGATTCAATGTCGTCGATCATTACGTTGTAGCTAAAGCCAACCTTGTCCATGAATTTCCGGGCATCTGCGACATTGCGTTGCTCGATGAGGATGTCGATGCCATCCTGGTTGATGTTCCACACTTCGCTGCCTGAAATGGGTTTTGAAATATTAATAATTAATTTAATTTCAACACCCAAAAAAAAAAATTGATATGAAACGTAGATTTTTACCAGGGACCGAAAATAACTGTTATTGTAAATTTTTCATACAAAAAAATCACGCACTTAGAAGGGTCCTAAAAATTTTTTAAATACACCACAATTTTTATTAGCCATTGTAGTTTACAAATCCGTAATGATTTTTATTTTTTGATTTTTATAATAAAACTCAAAAAATAACTGTTATTTTTTGATTTTTATGAATAACAGTTTTTCCCTTGACATTTTTGAAAAAATTAAATAATTAAAAAAAACATGATATCCGTGCTTTATATAGCTTACTAAAAATTTGTTAAAAAAGGCAACCGCGCATATTTTATACCTATATTTTTTTTACATTTTTTTTCCCACAAAATTGCCATAAATCAAGTTTGAGTTTTATTTTTGATCACGACGAATAACTGTTATTTGTCAACTTTTATTATAAAACTCAAAAAATAACAGTTATTCTTTGAGTTTTACTTTACAAAGCGGAAAATAACTGTTAAAGTGTGATTTTTAAAATAAAACTTATAACAGTTACGTTCCCTGATTTTTACATTATTTAAGGGGTTATATACCTTTTTTGGGCGAAAAAATTGGGGGAACTTTGGATTTTTTTCAGGTGTGTAGCAATTATTTTATGAAACTGAAGTTATTATTTATTGATAGTACATGTTTTTATCGAAACAACAAGCGTTTGATCTTGAAAATATATGAATAATTTACAAAGTTATGGCAATTCTCTCGGAACCCTTTTTTTTTTATAGCGTCTTGCGGTGACCACGATTGCACAAGAACTATTTGATCGATCTTCTTAATTTTTTTTTTAAATTATTCGTAATGATTGTGCCGAGTTCGTGAACGATTATTTTCAAGAATATTTGCTTTTTTTTGCATACAGTAACAATTTTTCCAAAAAATTGATTTTTCGAGTACTAAAAATTTAATTAATAAATTTTTTTCTGCGAAATCAAAATTGACGCATAAAAACTGAATCGTTCACGAACTCGGCACAATCATTACGAATAATTTAAAAAAAAATTGAAGAAGATCGATCAAATAGTTCTTGCGCAATCGTGGTCACAGCGAAGGCACTTTTGGAAAAACACGACTTTGAGATAATCGCATTCAAAGTTTTACGTTGACGTTGCAACTATTGAAGTCGAGCGCGGCAAAACGCTGTTTTCCTATCGAACTATTATTCGGATCTGTATGAAAATTTGGGAAGATGTTCTCTAGGGGATATACTTTAGGAATCAGCAAAAAAAAAAATTTCGTTTTTTTTTTAAAAAAAAAGGTATATAACCCCTTAAGATCAATTTTAATTTAAATTTGACCTGGTCGAAAAGAGAATTTCATGAAAAAACGATACGGGTTTTGCATGACCTTAAATTTACATGGCCATATCGATTTTACGGGAACATGATTTTTTTTTGGGAAGTAGCTTATCTCTTAATCTTTTAAGAGTTAGTAAAGGATCTTCGTTTTATTTCTCCATTAATTAATATGCGATAATTTCAAATTATGTAAGTTCGAAATTCGTCCAGAAAGTGATTGAAAATCCGATTTAGGTTGCATGAATATTAACACAAATTTTGCGAATGTGAAAGTAGCAAAAACCATTTTTGCATATGCGAAAACCTATATTGTAATTAATTCGAATAACTAATCTGATAAAATGCTGACTAATATGTTTCGTAAATACTCAAGATAGTGTTAAAAGATCGATTTGATTACTAATGTCGCGTTGTTTATACCAAAGTGCCGCCAAAAGGCCCTCAGTTCGGGCAGTTCCAGCCGGGTTTCATGGATTTTCCACAGCTGAAAGCCGTAGTATCGCTGCACATGGCTGCCGTTGCGATAGCGCCTGTTGATCTGGTACGATGATCCCGGGGAGAGGAAGTCGAAACGGCGCAGATCCAAGGGCGATAGCCACTGGAGACCCTCGAAGGTGGACTCGTACAGCTCGCTGCTGTTGAGGGTCAGCAGGGCGAGCGGAAGACCGGAAATTCCGGAGATCTCCGGCACGGAGACACTCCGCCAGAGCAGCAGCTTTTGGCCAAGAGCCGATCCAATGGCCAGGGCCACAAACGTGAGCGCTTCCAGTGGCGGCATCTTCGAACTAAATCTACATAGCTGACCTCTCAGTTTCTTGGGGTTCTGGAGTAGCGGTTCTCTGATTTATGCCAAAGCCAAAACACAAATTTATGCGTGCGAATGCGAATGCGTGCTCAGGTGGCCGAGTTGACCTGACCTGCCCTGACCTGCCCGGGTGCCTCCCTAAAACCGACTCTCGTCATCACAGACCAGTCCAAGACAATAGCAGTTAGCTTTTCGGAGACTATGAATTTAAGATTTGAATAAAAGGCAATGCAAGTTTGGCTCAAAGTATAAGCGCAGCAGGGAAAAATTCTACTAATTCTAATTATACCCGTTACTCGTAGAGTAAAAGGGTATACTAGATTCGTGCAAAAGTATGTAACAGCTAGAAGGAAGCGTTTCCGACCCCATAAAGTATATATATTCTTGATCAGGGTCACTAGCCGAGTCGATCTAGCCATGTCCGTCTGTTCCGTCTGTCCGTCTGTATGAACGCTGAGATCTCAGAAACTACAAAAGCTAGAAGGTTGAGATTTCCCACACATATTCTTTAGCTTCCTACGCAGCGCAAGTTTATTTTAGCCGAGCGCCACGCCCCCTCAAACGCCCACAATCGCCCACTAACGATTTTAAAATGGGTCCTGCGCCCACATCTTTAAACATTTCCGAGAAGTATAAATGCAATTTTGTTGTGTATATTTATACCTATCGAAATGTAGAAGACATTTTTCAAATCGGACCATTCATTAAAAAGTTATACGCAATCAAAAATTATATATCTATCTCCCTCGCACTCCCTTTAGCTGAGTTACGATTATTAGTCAAGACACCAACCCGACACAGCGTTCGCACTCCCTTTAGCTGAGTGACGGGTATTAGATAGTCGGGACAACAACCCGACTATAGCGTTCTCTCTTGTTTTTTTTTTAATATATGCATATACTGAATTAGAAGGTACAATTCTTTTACATGTATTTTTTTTTTTTTTTTTTTTTGAAAATATTAACTTTTATAAAGAAAAAAAATATGGAAATTTGTTATTTTTTTTATATTTGAAATATACAAATCTAAAAATTGTTTAGTTTTTCTTTATTATGGATTCATGATTCAAATAGGGCAGGTACAAGTTTTCTTTAAAATACTTTTATAAAAAAAAAATTTGAAAACTCTAATGGTTTTGAGAAAAAAAGATGTTTATATTTAAAATCAAAGAAATCCAAGAAATAATTAGATTTTTTCCAATGCGAAATAATTTTTGATTTAAAAACCAAAAGGTGTAACTATGTTCTTAGCCCCTAGTGTGTTCTTTCAAGCTTGACAATTTCTCTTCTTTTGTGCGGCCTAACAGACTTCTCGAAAGCCCCTCCAGGGCATCAATTTTGATTTGACTCACCGAACAAAGCGACCACCTCGTTGAATTGGGCATCCGGTGAGGCCACCACCTGTCGCTCCTCGGGCTCCTCCTCGTGCTCCTCCTCCCGCTCCTCCATGGACGATCCCCGGGTGGCATTAAAGTTGAGCTTCCACAGCTGCGCACCTCGATAGCTCACATAGTTGGCATCCAAATCGCTGCGAAGCTCCGAGATTCTGCCCCTTTCGCCTGAGGGATTCAGCGACAGGGGGTGCAAATATCTCAGCAGGTGACCCACACCGCCGCCAAAGAATGGTAACCTCGTTAGCCGATTATCGGTGCGTGCCAAGTCCAGATAATTTCTACCGCCCACCTGATCCATTTTCCCGGCAATTAGCAGCACCGCCGGCAGCCACGCCCACTTCCAGAAGGGGAGTTGCATTTTATTAGTATCAGTATCTTTAGTTTATCTTTCGGTTTCTAGATTGTGGTGCGATCCATTGGACAGTTGGTGCGCATATAATGCGTTCGCAAATCGATCGATGGGCCGCAGCCTCCGGCTAACGGCTTCTCGCGTTCTCAATTCTCCATTCTTCGTTCTCCATTCTCCGTTCTTTAAGCCGCACTCTCCTCTTCCGCCGCCCCTTCGCCATTTCCCCATTATTCGCCCGATTCCCCAATTAAGGCCAATGGATTTGCATATTGACGAAATGCCGGGCTGATTTTGATGCTTTTCATTTCGGACTTTTACTTTGGATAAGGTGTGAGACCATGGAGATTGTCAAACTGTTATACTGTTATACTAGAAGAGGGCAGCTACTGATTCTTTGGAAAATAAATATGTTTATACATTAACAAATAATTTTATATTTTTGCAAAAAATGTCAAGAAATAATTTGTAACAAATTTAATATGAATATAATATTGATGATCTTGATGTCTGATTGATGTTAATGTCTGGCGCCCATATTTTTAAAGATTTCGGAGAAGTCTAAAAGCAATTTTGTTGTATTTATTTATACCTATCGAAATGTAGAAGAAATATTTCAAATCCGACCATTCGTTAAAAAGTTATGCTCGATCAAAATTGAATATCTTCATCTCCCTCGCACTCCTTTAGCTGAGTAACGGGTATCTAATAGTTCCCCCATTTAAAAACATTTACTTTTTCATTTAAATTTTTAATTTTTTTACTTTTTCAATAAACATTTTTCAGTCTATTTAGATGAGTTTTTGTGTTTTGTTTTTGTGTGTGTTTTTTCTGTGTGTGTTCAATTTGTCTAGTTACAACTAGAATAAATAAATAAATAAATAGTATTCATATAAATAGCAAAAAAAAAAAAGAATCATTACGCTGATTTACAAAAAAATCGCATTGAGCTAAGTGAACTGGACTAGTGGCGACGCCTCCGGCTGCCACTGCTGTTCCTGGCCACCGACTTTCCGCGTCCCTGGGCAATCGCCCTGGCCACCGTGTCGGCGAAGGTAACGCCATCCTTGCCATTGTACTGGATGAACCGGGCGGGCAGGACGAAGCCATACCGTCCGGTGTCGCCCATTTCGATGGTGTAGGCGTACTTGATGCCCGCAATGCCCTTGGCCCAATCATCGGAGCCTCCGGCGGCGGGATACAAAGTGGTGGCGGAGGATCCCACGGTGTACTTCACGCCCGTCGACTTGGTGATGCTCTGAAATATGAGGAGTGCAAAATATTATAGTTCATTTGGGTTTGATGACCAGAAATTATAAAGAGATAGATAGTCTATTTTAAAACAAAATTCGCAGTTGAATAACAGTAAAAAAGGCATTTTTTAAAGGTTCCAAAACAATTGTACTGGCAATTGCTAATAATCTCTATCAATAAAACTGTAAGCCCAAAAAAAGAGGAGTTGAACATGGAGCCACTACGGCTTGACTTAAAAATCTAAAACAAAAAACCGAAATTCGGAAATAATTTGAAGACATAAGTCTAGTAATATTAATATAATATTTTAAAGTATTGAATTAATATTTTAAATAGAGAAGCTTAAAAATTTAATTAATATTTTTAATATTAAATGAATATTTTATAGGCATGATAAGTTGTCTTGTAAAATCATAATCAGAAATAAGGCAATATAAAACCTTTATGTTTTGGAACTTATAAAATTCATTTAAAAAATTTTTTAAATGGTATGCTATGTACCTTAAATCTTCAAATTTCAAACTGAGTAATTTTTTAAAATGCGATTGAAAAAACTCACCGTTCCCGCCTGTCGCGCCACTCGATCCAGATCGGCACGATCCTGGGTTAGCTGGTAGTCGTAGCCCCAAGGATACAAGATATACTGTCCGTAGCTGTGGAACGAGAGGTACGCCTGGAAGGTCTCCCTGGGGAAGCCGCTGATGAACTTGGAGATGTAGAAGGTCTCCGGCTCGGAGAAGGCCTTGCTGCCGCGATAGGTCTGCGAGCAGGGACTGGCCGAGGTGCCCTTGCCGCCCCATTTGTAGCCAAAGTTCCGATTGAGATCCACGCCGGGACACTGGCGACCATGGGCACGCATATTCTTGCGCCACAGGCGATCGGTGGTGTGGGAATACTCGTAGCCATCGGGATTGGCCACCGGATGGATGTACCAGTTGATGCTGCGCATGTGCTCGGGCAGATCCTCCCAGCCCTCGACCAGCTGGTTGGCGATATAGGTGACCGTGGCCGGACTGATCCACTCGCGGGCATGCATGCCACCATCGATCCAGACGCCGGGATTGCGGGCATTGCCATTGGAAATCCTAGGGGGTTAAAAAATAACATTATAATTTGAAAAAAAAAATATATGTTCACACTCACTTAAGAATCTTCAGGGGTCGCTTCTCCACCGAGTAACCGATGATCTCAGTGGAGCAAATATCGGGATATGTCTTGGCCATGTAGTCAATGAAGCCATGAATGTCCTCCAGACGATGGTAGGCCTGCCAGGTGAGGCGGTGTCCTGTGGGGAATGCCATAAAGAAGATGTGTGAATATTATATCGTATCGTAACCCCTCAAGTTCATTCAACTTTCAGTCAATTAATGGGGGGAATGAAAGGGAATGGCACTCTGACCCTCAACTTGAACCCTTGAAGGCATCTTGGTCTTGGCGTCGTCTGGCGTTTCCGTTTCCCCGTTTTTACACCGGCTATCGATTAAACAAAATAGCGTCTTGCAAGGACCTTTTCCCTTTTCTCCGGGTGCGTTTTTTCGAGTTTGAAGTTCGGAGTTCGGGGCGTTCGTGGCACGTGGCACGTGGCACGTTCCTATGGCAAAGCCACTTTGCGCTTGATGACTTTTCACACGCCCCTCGCCGAGTGCATTAAATGCTCGTTTGCGGCGACACCTCGCTGGGCGAAAAAAGGGGTGACTGCAGCACCACCTGTCACTCAGAGACCCATACTCCCACCACTCAAAGTATAATAAAGAAAAGGATAAGGGAGTAATGGGTGTAGAAACCAAGGAAATTATGTTCTTATATTCCCTGGAAAAAGTTTCATAAATCTTACAATTTCTGTAGTTAAACTCCTTTGCAAAAAACCCAAAGTAAAGTGTGGTTTAGAATTAAATAAAAATAAATTCATTCTGTAATTATTCTGGGTCAAAGCAATTCTTCAAAGCTCATTTCTTTCTTTTGAGATAATTAATATATGATTTAATTTTTCTACCTTTAAATGAATCTTCAAAAAATAATATGATATTAGATATGACTTCTTTCTCCTTAAAAAATTTCAAATCATTCCCAAATCCTTTTTAAATCATTCCCAAATCTTTTTCAAATCCTTGTCAAATCATTCCCAAATCATTCACTCATTCCCAACTCATTCCGACCTCCTTTCGCCTCAACTTACCCTTTCTGTTTTGGAGTTCAGCAATCTTCTCCGCTGGCGGGTTTTCCTTTTCGATGACATGCTGCAGATTGTCGATGAGAACAATGCGGGAAAGATTAGCAGCGCGAATGTGACGCTCGGCGGCGGCCAAAACTTGGGGTTTCAGCAGGTAGTCCACCTCCTGCTTGACCTCCTTCCACAGTTGGCCATCTTAAGAAAAAGCAATAATAATAATTAATTACCAAGTTTGATGGCACCTAGAAATTGCACTCACCATATTTGGACTGCAGTTCATCGGCCATTCGCTTGTCCTTGTCGGTTTGGACCACAATGCGCCATACTTGGGCTCCATCATAGCGTCTCAGGTGGGCATTGAACGGCGACTCCTCCTCCGTCTTGGGCAGATCCGCTTCCGATGGCTGCTGCTGCAGGAACGAGGCGTTGACGTAGTTGAGCACACTATCCTGCACCTGGATGGGCTGCGATGGGATGGGCACCTGAGGCTGGGGTGGGCCAACCATGGGGATGATGGTGGTCAGCAGGGAGGAGGATTCCTCGGGCTTGGTTTCCTTCTCATCTTGCTGGACCTGCTTCTCCACTTCGGGTTCGGTTTGGATGGCGTCCGATTGGGTTTCAGCTGGGGTTTCAGCAGGGGTTTCTGCAGGGATATCAGCATGGGTTTCTACAAGGAAATTAGCAGGGGTTTCAGCAGGGGTTTCATCAGGGGTTTCAGCAGGAGTTTCTGCAGGAATTTCAGCAGGGGTTTCTGCAGGAATTTCAGCTGGAACTTCTTCAGGCGTTTCAGCTGGAGTTTCAGCAATTATTTCAGCTGGAACTTCTCCATTGGTTACCACAGGGGTTTCGGCAGGGGTTTCGGCAGGGGTTTCCGCAGGGGTTTCGGCAGGAGTTTCGTCAGGAGTTTCGGCAGGGATTTCGGCATGGGTTTCAACAGGAACTTCGGCAGGAATTTCAGCTGGAATTTCAGCAGGAATTTCAGCAGGAATTTCAGCAGGAATTTCAGCAGGAGTTTCAGCTGGAACTTCACCTAAGATTTCAGCTGGAATTTCCTCAGGTTTCACTTCATTGATCGCCGACTGAATCTCCGCATCATTCTGAGACTCCTCCTCTGGCTTGGCTTCCTCTTGACCCTTGACTTCCTCCTCTTGCTTGGATTCTTCCAGTGGCTTAGCTTCATCCTCCGTTTGAGTTTCCTCTTCAGGTTTGGTTTCTGCGGGAACTTCAGCTGGAGCAATCTCGACTGGTTCTGCATTCGAGGCCTGAGCAATCTCTTCCTCCGGCTCATCGGCCAGGGTGATCTGCTCGGGTTCCTCTACCTTTTGCTGCTCAACTTCCGGAACTGCCTGCTCGTCGATGGCCTCGGTGACTGCCAACTGCTGCTCCTCGGCTTCCTCTGCCTCTGGCTCCTTGTTCTCACTGGCCTCGGCCAATTCCTCGGGCACCAGATTGTCCATGGCTGCGGTGAGACCATTTTCCAGGCCCTCGACCAGGGTTTCCATCAGAGAAGCCTCCGTGGTGTCCACCTCATTGTCGCTGGCTTTCTCAACTTCGGTTGCCTTTTCTGGCTGGGATTCAGTTTCGGGTTGGGTTTCCACTTCTGGCTGGGATTCAACTTCTGGCTGAGATTCAACTTCTGGCTGAGCTTCAACCTCTGGCTGAGATTCACTTTCAGGCTGGGCTTCCATTTCTGGTTGGTTGACATCCTCCACAGCTGGCTGAGATTCCATCTCTGGCTGAGCTTCAACCTCCTGCTTTTTCTCCGCCTGTTCGACTTCGCTTTCTGGCTGGGATTCCTCTGGTTGCACCTGTTCCGGCTGCGATTCTGATTCCTCGGGCAACTGATCGTCCATTATCTGTGCTTCGGCTTCCTTCTCGGTGGCAGCTGGAGACTCTAATTCCTCTTCATCATCTTGAAGGGGCAGTGGTGCCGCCTCGGTGGCCAAGTCCATCGTTTCCTCCAGCTGAGCCTCCTGGCTGAGGGGCTTCATCAGCACCACATGCTCCTCAATCGACTCGGGCTGCTGATGATATTGCTCCGTTTCTGGCTGGGATTCGGCCACCGTAATGTCGCTGGGCAGCTCGACCAGCTGCATGGCTGGACTGGAGTCGCTCTCCAGCATCAGCATGTCGGAGGAGGAGGAGGCGGAGGACTGTCCGGATGAGGGATCCGTTTCGGGATCGGCTTCGATGGAGTTGCGATTCACATGCTCGGTGTCCTCCAGTTGGCTGGCCACCGTCTCGGGAACCAGCATATACATGTCCGATGAGTCGGCGGATGGAATGGAGGTGAGTTTCATGTCGTCCACCAGAACATCTTGGGTTGGCTGCTGATCCGCCGGCAGCTCGTTCCTCTCGAGAGCCAGGCGATCCAGCGACATCGAAGCCACCTGGTTGAAGCCAAGGACGAGGAGTAGAGAGCCGATGGCCAGAATTCTTTTGGGGGAAATCCCCTCGTTAATGGCTGCGTTGCCACGCGATCTCGCGTTGTACATCTTAGCGGGATCTGACTGTGAACCGTAATGAGACATGTCCCATTGGTGGAGTGGCGCTTTTATACCAACGCTGGGAAAGTATTGCCATTTCATTTTCGATATTTCTCTCCGCGCTGCCGGCAGAGGCGACGTCGCTGCAGTCGGCGTCGCTGTCCGCCGTCCGCTGTCCGCTTACACTGGCCATCAAAAAAAGAGTGGAACTTGTTATGTATGTTAATGTTTAACCAACAGATACAGAGTGTCCAATGCTCGGCTCTCTTCCTTGTGAGAGACGCGGGTCTCTTATGTTAATCCCCCCCTCCTTCCCAGCAAATGTCATCGGCATAACCATACCATATCTTCCATCTTCGCCGCGGATCCCACATTTCCATATCGACGGGTCACCCGCTCTCGCTTTCTTTCGGGATCGCTGCAAAGCATAACAAGAAATGGTGATAAACGAAATGTATTCAGTGCTATAACAGATCGAAATTGAAGATATTCCCGAGAAATAGCCGAGAAACTAAGTAAAACATGTGTGAATATGTAGATCAAATATTTGAATAGATAAGCAAATAGCCAACATCTATGATTCTGTATTTGTTTTATTTTTGTTTAATTTATATTTTACGGCCCATATTATTCCTTAATATTTTTTTACATCAGAATTACAATTTAACTGCTTATAATTTAATGTATTTATGTTTTAAACATTGTCAACAATTTAATTAGCAGTTAATACTTAATTTAATATTAAAAATATAGTGTAATATAATATTAATAATATATTATTATCAGTTAATGAATATTTTAATATTGAAAATATAGTGTACTATAATATTTATATGTTTATAAACAAAACAAAAATATGTTAGAGTTAGACTTTAAAAAGCTGTTAGATTTAGCCATTAAATTTATAATTTTACTAAAGATTTTCTATATTACTTATTGTTATTAATGGGTTTAAAAATAGAGCTTGCCATACATTTCCTCTCCACACTTATTTATGGTTGAGTTCGAGTGTCTGATTCCATAAATAACTTTTTCTCATTTAAATATTGATAAATACTAAATGTAGCTCTCTGTAAGTGCCATCAACTGTCACAATTAACGACTGATCGACTGGTCGACTTTCTATATGCACAGCAAATCATTCTGAAGATCCATTTCCATATCTCGAACTGAATCAGCGGGGGCCTCAATTAATAATCGATGTCAATTGGCCATTTCATGCTAACTGCAGTGCTTATTGTCATTGGAATCGATGCTGGACAGGTTAATTTTTATATATATATTTACTTAACGAGTGCAGCAGGACGCACCCGTGATTCCTGAGATTTGGCACACACGAAATCACACGCAGATCGCCTCTTATTTTGTGTACTCTTTTTTTCTGTTTTTTATTTTGGACGCGCTTTAAAAGTTTCCAATTTGCTCATTGACATGATTTCTGAATAAGTTGCTCTGTCGCTCTGTTTTTTATGTTTTTTTTTTTTTATTATTATTTGTGCTCGTATTTTGTATTGGTGTATTACCCACGCTCTGCTCTCTAATCAACCGCACCTCGTCAGCGGGCAAACAATTGCCGGTGGTATGGTGGTTCCATTGCTGTTGTTACCACCGCTCCTTTCACTTTATAAGTGGAGTTTATCAAATGACAATTGAGGAAGAGCGAGAGTTCAAGTAATTGCAAAGCGGGCAGCGCAACGAAATCGCCATCGCCATCGCAATCGCTATCGCCACTGCCTGGGTCAAGTAGTGAAATTGTCCTTAATAGTTTATACCCCATATGTACTTATAGTTTCTCGATCGATCTCGAATCGACCGCTTGGCACAAGTGCCACTCGATATTTACCCCACTCTTTAGCACCCGGCTGCAAATGAATCTAATAGTTACTAAAATATTTGAACGTTCATTTCGCGAATTAGTGCTAATTAATTGGCAATTCGTATAGGGTCTTTATTGACTATTTAAGGCTTAAACTAAATAGTTGGCTTATAATAATTATACATTTAATGAATAAATTATTCGTTTCATTATTATATTATTTTTTGACTATTTAGGGTTTTTATTAAATAGCACTGTGCAGCATTTTTAGTGCTTTTTAAATTTACCTCGATGGATGCTATATTTTTGGTTTCGTTACGAATTCCCAAGTTAAACTGCGTTTTCCAAAAAGTTCCCCGACGCAAGGATTCTTAGCAAAAGGACCTCAAAGTTCGAAAAATGCTGAAATTGGCCAACTTTGCGGAGCTCTTAGAGGCAAATGGATGCATGGTTTGATTCCATGTTAAAGTTTTTTAAAAGATACACCCCTTATCTTTTAAACCCCATACTTAAAAAATTTTTAAGATTTTTTTTAAGGCAGAAACAAATTCTAGAAAACGTAGTCAAAAAACATAAAAGTATACAGCAGCGGTCAAAATGGTAGTAGTGTTGCCGCCCTGTGTATTTAAAAGTTTGTTGTTGTAATTGATCTTTTCCTGGTAATATTGTATTGATTATAATTTTACTATTAGACTAATTGGATAAGAAAAAATTACAACATCAAACTTTTAAAAACACAAGGCGGCAACACTGCTACTATTTTAACCGCAGCTGTATGTTTTTCAGTTTTTTGACTATGTTTTTTGGAATTTATTTCTGCCTTAAAAAAAATCCTAAAATTATTTTATGTTTGGGGTTTGAAAGATAAAGGGTGTATCTTTTAAAAAACTTTAACTTCGAACCAAGCCATGCATCCATTTGCCTCTGAGAGCTCCGCAAAGTTGGCCAATTTCAGCATTTTTCGAACTTTGAGGTCCTTTTGCTAAGAATCCTTGCGTCGGGGAACTTTTTGGAAAACGCAGTTTAACTTGGGAATTCGTAACGAATCCAAAAATATAGCATTCATCGAGGTTAATTTTTGATGCTGCATAGTGTAGTTGACTTATACAAATTATACATTTAATTGCAAGTTTGTTGTCTAAGTCTTTCGTTTTATTTCTTATTATTTCAATTAATTGATTTTAAATTTAATTTAATTTCATTTAATTTTTTTTATTTTGTTTTATTTAAAAACATTTTTTTTTATTACTTAAATTAACAAATATTTAAATTAAATTATATTATAAATAGTACATTTAAATCATTTAACCAAGAAGAACATATTCCAATTAGCAGCCCAAATATGTAAGTAAACAGATCTAAAAGCTGATTTCAAAGAATTGTTTTTAAATTTAATTACAATTTTTTAATATTTTTGTATTATTTAAATATGCCAATATTTACAACAATTACCATTTAAATCACTTAACCAAGTAGAACCAATTCCAATTAGCAGCCCAAATAGGTTCACACATCTAAAAGCCGATTCCAAAAGTGGAAAGTGGCAGCTCCATAAACTTCACAAAAGTATGAATGAAGTGAATGGTGTAAAAGGTGGACGAGGTGTACGATGCTTTTCAGGTAGATTCTACTACCAACTTGGCGGCCGAGTCGATGAAAGCGAGAGTGGGCAGCAATGTCAGTGTTGTTGGCGGGTAAATGCCGAAAAAAGCAACTTAAAACCGATGCACACACAGACACACATACATATGTTTATACGAGTACAGTGGGACAATGGGCGATGGTGGGCGGAGTGGGCGGCGCAGAGGGGCGGAGGCAGTGCCACGAACTTTCTTTCTTCTCCAATATTTCGCTGCCTTTTTTCGAGTGTCGAGTGCAGTGTTGTTATTGCTGCTGCTGCTGCTGCACGCCCACATCATCCCAATTATCTTCTTACGGTTACGGGTAACCATAATGCCCATAGTGCCACTTGACAGTCGATAACGTTTGACGAGGGTTGCGGCTGCGCACAGTGGGCCTAAAAAGAGTGAGCCTAGTTCGTTACCAAAGTCTTTCGTTTATGTTTTAAAAAAAATATTTTTACATTGTATTTTAATATTTTCTTAAATATATTCCATGATATACAAATGGACGAAATTTCACATTAAAATTTTTGTTGCATACTTTATGAATACCCCATTTCCTTTGATTTTTTAGTCGAGGGGGGAGGGAGTTATGTATATCCCATGGATTAGAGAATCTGCGTCCTGAAATAATTTAACATAAAAGTTGATATTCCTTAGTTCGTGGCATAAGTCTTTTGTTTTCCTGTGGTGTTAGTTGTATTCCCTTTTTTTTTTTTAGTGTTATACTAGATAAGCTAAAAAATATGCTATGAATTTATTAAAGCCATTTTTCAATGAATTTCTTAATTAAAAATTTTTTTTTTACGAATTAATAGTAATATTTTGATTGTTCGGTTCCACTGTGCAGCGGGACATGAAGTTGTCATTACTGTGCTGTGTATGTTTCTGACTGGCTTTGTTTTTCTATTTTCTACTGGCCGGCTCTGCTCGCCTATCCCTCTGCAGAGGATGATGGAGGCAGAGAAAGAAACCGCCGCCCAGCGACGACAAGTATTAAGTATTATTATTATTCTCGCAACGCGCACCTTCACGCCTTTTTTGTGGCTCATTACCGTTAAGCTGCCACACCCCGGAGGAGCAGCAGCGGCGGCTCCCCTGCACTTTCACATGTCCCCGCGGCCCCGACTCATCGAACCTCTTCATCTTTCACGGAGTCTGTAAATGAGATGTTAAGTTTGGGCCTTAAAATTTGCAAGGCAAAAACGTACATACCTTTTTTGTGTAAATGTTTTGAAATGCTCTTCTAAATAATAATTTAGGGGCTTACAAAAATATTTTCACCTTTCGCTATTAGCAACATATACACAGAAAAAAATTAAATAGGGTAATTTCTACCTTATTTCATATCAATAAAATGCCGATATGATTAATGTCAAATTTATGATTTAAACATATCAACTTGATATTTTATCATTTCATAAAAGATAGAAAAATAATGATTTAAAATACCATATTTAGTATTTTTTGAACAAATATTGTAAGATAAGATAAACATAATCTTTATTCATATCATAAATGATCTTAAAAAAATATTAAATTAACCTGCACCTGCAGATTGATATCTGATCTTTTGTAAATTTTTTCTTTCTGTAATCACAACTAAGCTAAGTTAGAAAAATTAAACAATAAATTTTGTAAATCTATTACGATATTTATCACCATTATTTTTAATGTCTGTGATTTATTTTTCATCTGCAGATGGAGGAGATCACCGAGGCGGAGGTTGATGCGCCAGTTCTTCCCTTGGCCGAGGAATCTGGCCACTCGGTGAGGAGTCCCCCGGGCAGCCAGCCAAGGAGCCACGCCCATTCTTACAACCATCAGCCCATCAGGCCGATGGCTAGCTACAGCGAAAAGGCTGTGGGCAGCTCACCCAAGCATCTGGTGAGCACGCTGAGCTCACCCATCGAGCAGATCGCCTGCAGTGTCTCCCGGGAGCATGCCCTGAAACTAGAGATCGAGCAGCTGCAGGAGCGGCTCAAGGACACCGAGGAGCGTCTGGCCTCCGTTCGCCTGCAGAGCGACTCGCTGTCGCAGACGCAACGTGCCCTCCGGGATCACAACGGTCGGCTGCAGGAGGAGTCCGAGATGCTGAAGCTGGACGTACAGCATCTGAATGAGTGTGCCAATGTTTTGCGGGCGGAACTGCAGGCGGCACGAAGGGATCGTGGTGAGGCGATCCAACTACAGCGATCGCTGCGCGAGGAACTCGAGGAGGCGCACCAGGAGCGGCGGCGGACCGGCGAGGGCAAGGAGAAGGACGGTCGCGTCATCCAGGACCTGCAGCGCCAGTGTCGCGAGATGGAGCGGATACTCATGCGCAAGCATCCGGACTCGGTGTCCGCTCTGATAGGTGCGTTTGGGGTAACCCCATGTATTTATAACTAATAGGAAAATATATAGAAATTAAGATAGTTTAAAGAAAGCTTATGGGTTAATTATTTTGGTGACAAATATTATTTAAATACAAATGTATATAAAAGTTCTTAGAAAATATGGAGAAACAGAATAGGTCCATTATTTTGTGATAATTATTCTACAAAAAAGAAAACAAATCTCTAAGTATTTTATATAATATTTAAATGCTCTTAAATTTAGAATAGGAGAAATATTAAACAGGTTTTAACATAAATATTGGCATTTATAATCAAATATCTTTGATAAAAACCTCCAAAGTATTGTAACATCAATCAAATTATGGTACTCTTAACCTTTATTTAAGGAAAACTTTTAGGTTCATTATTTTTCTGCTACTTGTTATTATCATTAATAATAAGAAAGTAATGAAATCTCCTGGAATAACTTTATAATTTTAAATGCCTTTAAATTTGGAACATGACAAATATTTGAAAAAATTTTAATATAAATATTGACATTTAAAATATGATATGTTTAATAACAACCTCCAGAGTATTGTGACTTCAACCAAATAATCTTATTTAATTAAGGGAAATATATAAATAAATTAATATATATATTATCTGTATTTATTTATTTATATAATTATGTATATATTTATTTATTTATATTTCATAGTCGCTTCCAAGAGTCCGGGCATGTGTCCGCTGAACGATCAGGAGAACGTGAACAGTCGCAAGCTGCTGGAGCAGCGCATCGCCCAGCTGGAATCGGATGCCAAGGAGCAGGATCGCAAGGCGCAACAGATTCTGGCCAATGTCCAGGCTCGCTTCAATTCGGTGCAGGCCAAATACGAGACGCACATTGCGGATCTGGAGACGCAGGTGCTGAGGTGGGTTCTATATTACTATAAGGAGCTATAAGGAAAACCAATAACTAATTCCTAATTTCAATCCCCTAGCCTCCAGGAGATCAACACGAAGCTGAACGAGCAGATTGAATCTCAGGTGCGCACCCTGGATCGCTACATGCAAAAGCGGGCGGATAGATACTACAACAATTGCACCCAAACGGAGCCATTGGAGGATCATGACCCGGTTGGCATAACTCCAGTTAATCCGGGAGGAGTATCCTCGTCCACAATGGGCACCCAAACTCAGCTGGCGAATGGAACGCGGGATCACAGCACCAACACCATTGGCTGCCCCTCACCGGCGCTGGTTTGCCAGCAACAGCATCTCCACCAGCCGCATGTCCACCTCCATCCACATGCCCCATCCGCCAGCAGCAGCACCAGCAGCACGGCCAACTCCACGCCAAACACGTCGCGTCCGAACTCGAAGCAAAGTGGCGGTCAGCGGCGTTCGCCACTGGTCACCGCCGGTCCCTCCAAGCTGCCCATCTCGCAGTCGGACTCCACGCTCTCGCTGCTCAGCCATGGTGGTGGCGTTGGCTCCAAGGAGGAGGCCCAGCTGCTCAGCTCCGTGCGGAGCATGCGCGTGGATTTGGCCATTAAGAACAAGGCAATGCAGCGACTGACGCGGGAGTTGGACGAGTGCAAGAAGACCATACGGAAGCTGCAGCGGGACAGGGAGGGCAGCCAGGCAGGTAAGCATCCAGAGACAAATCTAAATCCAAAATCCAAATCCACAAGCAAATCCAAATGCCCCTCTCTAATTTTGGTTGTGTTTGTGTCACTCGGTCGCCGATGGATGGCTGGTAATTTATGGACTTTCTCTGCCCGGTCAGCACGTACACTTGGTAGTTCCCCGCCCCACTGCCCACTCTTCTCCTCCGCTCCCGCCCCCGCCCGCTGGAGACCCCGCCGCACACTCCGCTTCTTCTAGAGACGGCAAATAAATTGCTGGAATAAATCATTGTACGGCTGTCGACGCTGTCGGCCTTTTGACCACTTTTTGCACTCGTTTCAAACGGCAATTGCAGCGCAACTAAGCGGCTAAGCGGCCATCGGCCAATGGCCAAGACAAACACGTTTCGGCCTGGCCAAGATGTCTTAACCCTCTGACCATTATGGGCTATAGAGAACCCCACTCTCACTTTGGACTGTGATGTTTTGATTTGTTGGTTTTTTATTTGAAATTATTTATTTCAGCTTTTCCCAATTGAATTTAAATATTTTCTACTGCTAAGAAACGATTTTTTTATAATTATTAATATGCCAATTCACAGAAATAAAATTCGATTTGAAATAGGATCACTTTTACCTTATTTCATATCAATAAAAAAGCCGAAATGAAGAAGTTTAAATTTATGAATCAAACATATCAACTTGATATTTTGTCTTATCAGTTATTTTATAAAAATTATAAAAATACTAGTTTAAAATACCAAATGTAGTATTTTTATTCATATCAAAATGATATGATCTTTCAAAAATATAAAATTTACTTGCATATATCATTTTTTGTAATTGTTTTTCCTGTGTAAGAGCTATACAAAATTCTAAAAAGTGTTTATAATGAGTCTATTAACATTAATTAGGATAATCATTTTAAAATCTGTAGTTACAGAATACATAACTATTTATTTTTATTTCCAACAAAAGTAGCTATCCTAGGGTTAAGACAAACGGCCGAAATGAAACTGAATCCACAGAGTCGAAGTTGGAGACAGAGATATAAATATGTGGAGAGACATGGAGTGAGATGGGCAGGAGGACGGGCGGGAGGAGGGTGGTAGACCCCATCTCGGGCACTTGGTTATGTCACCTGTGCGGCCTGACTCTTGTTTATTTACCTTTTGTCGATTCGGATTTGAATTTCTTGTTGCTATATTGCTATTGCCAGTGATGTGTGGCTGTGCCATCGAAAAAGAAAATTCGAAAGCGAAAGTCAAAGTCAAAGACGCGGGTTTGTTTTGGCGGCGGGTCGGTGATCGACTTGGATTGGATCAGGTCTTCTGTGCGGCCGGCCCCACCTCTTCTTTTTACCCTCCATCCCCCCTTTAAATGGACGTTTTATAATGCCATGACTTGTTAGCCGCCTCTGCCTCTGCCGTTGGCCAAAAGCTCACCGTGGATTTTATTACTTCTTTTTCTGCGTTTGTGATTTTTTCTGCTTTTTTTTTTTCTTGTATTTATTCGTTGTATGTGTTTTGATGTGCTTTGCGGTTTTTTGTGGCTAATTAATGAGCCGTCGCTCCGTCAAATTTGTTTTGTTAATAATTGTAAATGCCAAAAGCGGACGACGGTAACCGTATAAATAGCATCATCAGCGAATGTTTTAATTTCGTACGCGCGTGTAAGAAATGTAAATCGCTCCTCATAACTTTGTGGATTATGCAATGGGCTTGTTTTGTGAAAATTTCTTATAAAATTTGACCAGACGACTAAGCTCAATGAACCCCGAATTAGCTTACATAATTTAAGTTTTATTGTATTTATATTAATATACCTATTTTCAGGTAGCAAATTGGATCTTAGATCGCAGGCAAGTGGAGGATCTCTGCAGCGGCGTTCCAGTGGCTATGATCATCATCACCACAGTGACCACATTCCGGCGGCCACCGAAAGTCAGGCTCTGAAGGAGGCCCAAAACAAATACCGCCTGCTGGAGGCCGACTATAAAACGCTGCATGACAAGCGGCTGCAGGATGTAAGTGTTTCTAAGTACAAGATCCTAATTGAAATTTAATTTTCATATTTATATTTCAGTTAAAGACCCTGCAGAGTGCCCATGAAAGGGAACTGGCCTCCTGCAACGAGACTGTGCGCATTTTGCAGCAGCGCCTCAACGAGCGGGAGGAGGCACTGACCACCCAAAAGCGGCGCAAAGTGCCCGTGGATTACTATGCGCTGAAGGCCAAGGTACAGAAACCCCCTTATTAACCTACCAACTGACTGAACCAATCAAGATCTCAGTTTAAGTTCAAGAAAATCAAGATTAAGACAAGTAGTAGAGTCTGTTTTTCATAAGCTAGCAACTAATTTACTTTACTTGAACTCCTCTCTAAGGTATCCCTTTTGGAACGACGGCATTCGGAGCGGGAGGAGCGACTTCATATGCTGGTGGAGGCACTCAGCAAGGGACGACTCAACGGTGCTCTCGAGGATCTGATGCAGGAGAACAACAACAAGTAGTGCAGTTCGAGGGATTTTTTGGAGATAACTTAAGCCACATTGCCATGTTCAATGCCAGCCAATTCGACTAGAGTCCGTCTAAGCAGAAAAAACACATCCAATGATAAAGAAAAAAAAACCGCAATTTTAGCCAGAACAAAAAAGATAAACAGGGGTTGGGAACAGGGTTTTCCAGGAGTCTGGCTGCCAGGTGGGATTGCTGCTCCGAAAATGTAACTTTAACTGACGCTCCTGCGATTTTCTCAAACCAAAATTCGAATGTGTTCAAAATGGAAACAATAACTATATCGACCAGTGATCAGTTAGCCAACAACTCAAATATATAGGTTTAAGATCTTTCCCAACAAGAGCTGCAATCCCATCTGTCATCCATTTCTGGGTCCTTTGTTCACCAAGGATATTTAAAGGTTCAAGTTATTGTAGTTCTTAGAGCAGAAAGTATTTTAAATATCAGTGTTTCGATGTAGAAATTGAATGGTTCACAAAAGCGTTCACACAACTTAGAGAGAGATAGCTAGTGTGGTGTGAAAGAGAGAGAGAGAGATGGCGGCTGCGTCTTGGAAATGAAAGAGAAATACATAGCTTGGGAAATGAAAGTTGTACTAGGAATAAGTATTTTATGTATATAGAATATCGAAGTACAGAAATTCGAAGCGATCTCAACTTGAATATTATATATTTGATTTAGATGAAGGAGTGCTTTAGGGGCACAATTAATTTTACCCACGTAACAGTCGATTTTTTTTACCTAACCCAATTATTGTGCGTTTAAGATAGAGAACTTTGAAAAAGTTAAAAACAAAATAAAAGGAAACTAAGAACCAGGGACCGTAAATAAAGGTTATTTATGTTGTTTCGATATACAAACTCCTCCAAATAGTCTAGACTTTCATAAAGAAATATGAACTAAACCAATATGCTATCTTTTCGACCACCTATACAGAAAAATAATTATATATTTCAACTATTGGGGAAATACTGGCAGCTCTATAAGAAAGTATTCAAAAAATAAGGATTTGGATGTATTATTCTTATAGAGTTGTCAGTGCTCCCTAGTTAAATCTACTTGTAAGCAAAAAAAGCTCATCCAGTAATTACACTATGCAGCATCAAAAATTAACCTCGATGAATGCTATATTTTTGGATTCGTTACGAATACCCAAGTTAAACTGCGTTTTCCAAAGAGTTCCCCGACGCAAGGATTCTTAGCAAAAGGACCTCAAAGTTCGAAAAATGCTGAAATTGACCAACTTTGCGGAGCTCTCAGAGGCAAATGGATGCATGGCTTGGTTCGAAGTTAAAGTTTTTTAAAAGATACACCCTTTATCTTTCAAACCCCATACATAAAATAATTTTAGGATTTTTTTTAAGGCAGAAATAAATTACAAAAAACATAGTCAAAAAACTAAAAAAACAAACAGCTGCGGTCAAAATAGTAGCAGTGTTGCCGCCTTGTGTTTTTAAAAGTTTGATGTTGTAATTTTTTCTTATCCAATAAGTCTAATAGTAAAATTATAATCAATACAATATTACCAGGAAAAGATCAATTACAACAACAAACTTTTAAATACACAGGGCGGCAACACCACTACCATTTTGACCGCAGCTGTATACTTTTATGTTTTTTGACTATGTTTTTTAGAATTTGTTTCTGCCTTAAAAAAAATCTTAAAAATTTTTTAAGAATGGGGTTTAAAAGATAAAGTGTGTATCTTTTAAAAAACTTTAACATCGAATCAAACCATGCATCTATTTGCCTCTGAGAGCTCCGCAAAGTTGGCCAATTTCAGCATTTTTCGAACTTTGAGGTCCTTTTGCTAAGAATCCTTGCGTCGGGGAACTTTTTGGAAAACGCAGTTTAACTTGGGAATTCGTAACGAATCCAAAAATATAGCATCCATCGAGGTAAATTTAAAAAGCACTAAAAATGCTGCACAGTGTTATTATAGGTATTCTTATTGGATATTTAAAAGAAAATTGAGATTAATTACGGTCCCTGCTAAGAAATAGAAACAGAATATAATAGATCTCCCATAAATAAAGAACTCAAGCAGGCGGACAACTAAGACAAAAATCAAATAAAAATTCACAGTATTCCAAAACACACCGCCATATGATTTATATATATAGCCAAAAACAATTGATTTCTTAGCCTTAACTCTCTCTTTATTGGATATGTTTGACCCGCATCGGTTTACCGTGAGTGGTTCCTTCAATTCCCGAGGATCCAGTTTTATGGAGCGCTACCAACGACGCGTGGCTCCGGTTCGCCACAAGTTGTATTTGCAGCGCCTGAAGCGAGCGGCCAGTTTGGTGGACCAGCGACCGCCGCTGGTGAACACCAAGGCGCAGGGCGGTTTCGATGTCCTGCAGAAGGACGCCCGCATCTTCCTGGAGCGGACCAACGAGAATGTGCGTCTGCTGTTGAATCTGACGAGGATTAAGCGAACCGGCGGCACCATTGACTCGATGCAGCCGCCCCATTTCGCCTCCCGATCGGCGCATCCACAAATGCTGCACAGGATGGATGCAGTGCAGCATGAGAATCTAATATTGGGTCGCCGGCTGATGAGGATCCTTGGCCGCAAGCAGGCGACTGGCCAGCAGCCCAAGAGGCCATCGCTGGCGAGCAGCGTGAGGTGTCCCAGTGTGATGACCAATCGATCCGGCCTGGCGGAGAGTGAGGTCTTTAGCAAATACGAAGGCTGGGATCTACGCCTGCCCGCCGACAACTACGAGCTGATGCGGTTGCTCCGCCCAAAGATTGTTCTCCATTTCGGGCTGATGGACGGCCGACCGTTGGGCCAGGTGGTGGTGCAGCTGTACACGGAGGCTGCCCCTTTGGTGGTGCTGCAGTTCGTCCGCACCTGTCTGAGTCAGCGTTCCCATGAGTTCGCCGTGCGCCGCATCTTTCCGCATCTCTGGCTGGAGGCCTACCTCCTGGGCAGCTGTAAGAAGTCGTCGCGGGATGCACCCTCTTTGCGCGATCCCATGGAGTTCGATACGCGCGTGGTGAATCACGGACGCCACGGCTACATTTTCTCCTGCGCCAAGGAGTTCTGCGTCCATGGTTTCCCCGGTGGTGCCATTAATTTCAGCATCAGTTTCAAGCCCCTGCCGGTGGCCATTGGTCAGCGTGTGGGCTTCGGACGGGTGATACGCGGCGACAAGGTCATCGAGGCCATGGAAGCGCATGGCACCAAAAATGGCAAGATGAGCCGGCCATTGGTCATCACCCACTGCGATTTGCTATAGGAAAGGGATAGAGGTTTTTGGGGTACTTCTGGTCTTAACCTGCAGAGAAATTCATCTGATTTTGGATGATTCTCTGCGGGGTGAAACCAGAAGTTCCGCAGGAGCTCCTTACTACTGTTCTAAAAATATTTTATATTTATAAAACCCCTCCCATAAATAAATCAAATTGAATTTTTTGCTCAACATTCGATTAAAGTACGAGTACAATTTATTTGGTATCTGATTAGGCATACGAATGGATGGATAACTACCGATGATTCGGGCAATCCCCATAAACGAACATTATAGTCATATGTGCTTCTTGTATCGTGCATTTCAGCATATGGTTAATTATAAATTCTAGTTCTCCATGTGGGATTAGTTTTTTAGTGTAGAAGTTGCATACATATATACGAGTAGTTTATTGGATAGACGAGTAAGAGAAGAAGCTGCTCAAATCTTTCAGCTCCATGACAATACGATCCCAAACAACAGCAACATTTAACTGGCTAAGTTTAACAGTGATTTTTACGTGTAGATTAATGAACTACGGATACAGTATTATATAATATTGGTTAATGCGAATACGATGCAGATATTACGATATAACGGTATAACGAGACTGTTTTTTTGGCGAATACACAGTTGATACTTAGTTAAGCGATATTCTTAGGGCTTCTTGGTGATTTGAAGATGGTTGTAAGTTGAGTTTCCTTGGGTCCATCCTTTCCTATCCTCCGGTTCCGAGGCTAACCGGGTCTTCAGGAACGGAACCGCTCTCCTCTCGTTTATCTGGGCAACTGACAGCTCTGCGAGCTGGCTACGCCTGCTTTTATACCTCGAGTGGTGGTTTCACGGTCATGTTACGGAGGACATGGGACAACCAGGATAACCGGGACCCAGTTGCCAAGTCGATGCGCAATTTTACGCCCTGATGGCCATCTAAGGCGCCACAGGAGTATCCCCAATTATTGGGTTGCTCGCTCCTTTGCTCGCTGCACTCTAATTTGATTTTGATTGAATTGCGCTTATCGCAGTTGTGCACTCGCTGCGAGAAAAAATATAAAGGAAAAGAAAAGGAGTTTAGTATCCTGTAACCATATGAGAGGTTGCATGTACATAGATTGACGTCACGAGTCCTTAACGAGCTTCGCAAATCGATTCCCTATTTTATTTATTCTCTTCAGTATATAATACAATATGACGTGACGTCACGGGCCTGGCAATTTTCATTCATGGAAAATTGAAAACAGGCGCATTAGGCTCACTCGAACGGGCAGCAGTGGCGTCTGCGCCACTTGGTGGTGCAGTGGTGCACATGTGCGATAAGCGGAATTCAATCAATCAGGCCCAGTAAATTGCTGGAGCAGGAAGTGCTCAGCGTGGGTGTTTCTACTGGTGGTCATTAAATTCTAGGCCGGATTCCACTATAAAAGTGGCGACCATCCTGTAGCCAAGTCATTCCAGTTGCGCAGCTTGCTGGTGAAACAGCAGCGGACTGAATCTTCGATCTTCTTCTTGTGTACCTGACGCACCAAGCACCACCGCCACCAACCACCGAAGATGAGGCTCCGGCTCAGCGTTCTGCTCCTGCTCCTTCAGCTTGGCTGTCTGACCTTGGCTTTGGCCAGCGAGAGGCTCTCCTGCGGCGACACCGCTGGCAGCTCCATCTGCAAGGATATCCATCGCCGCCTGGATAGCTACGATGAGCACATGGTCTACAGACAGGCCAGCAGAGTTCCCGTCGAGTCGGTGGCCCGCGATGATCGCGGGAACGAGAGGCGCGAGGAAACGAGGGTCAGGTTGGACTCGTCCGAGCGAATGAAACCCCGCGAGGCTCGTGAGCAACGAGTAGAGCGACGTGAAATTCGTGAGGAGCGTACAGAGCCACGTGAAGCGCGTGAGGAACGAGTAGAGCAACGTGAAACGCGTGAAGAACGAGTAGAGCGACGTGATGCTCGTGAGAATCGAGAAGATCGACGTGACGACCGTGCGGAACGAGTGGAGCGACGTGATACTCCTTTGGAGCGAGTAGAGCGTCGTGATGCCCGAGAGGAACGAGTCGATCGTGAAGCTCGACAGGATCAAGTAGAGCGCCGTAATACACGTGAGGAACGAGAAATGCGACGCGATGCCCGTGAGGATCGAGTAGAGCGTCGTGATGCTCGTGAGAATCGAGAAGATCGCCGTGTAGAACGAGAAGAGCGACTTGATACTCATGTGGAGCGAGTAGAGCGACGAGATGCCCGTGAGGAACGATTAGAGCAACGAGATGCTCGTGAGAATCGGGAAGAACGAGTGGAACGACTTGATACCCGTGAGGAGCGAGAAGATCGCCGTGACGACCGTGTGGAACGAGTAGAGCGACGTGATGCCCGTGAGGAACGAGTAGATCGTGAAGCTCGTCTGGATCAAGCTGAGCGCCGTGAAGAACGAGAAGAGCGACGAGATGCTCGTGAGAACCGAGTAGAGCGACGTGATTCCCGTGAGGGCCAAGAATTCAGTAGGCGACAGGCGGAATCTCGACGGGAATCATCCAACGAAAGACGAGGGGAAGAACGCGAATTTTCCAGACGCGAGGAACGCGAAGATCGACGCGACGACAGAGTTACCTTAGAAAGGGAACTCTCAAGACGAGTGGAAAGGGAATCTGGACAGCGCAACGAGCGTGAGAATCTTCGACGAGAGGAACAATCAGAGGAACGACGAGTCCAGCCAGACGTCTCGAGACGCGAAGAGCGAGAGAAACGCGTGCGATTCGAAGTTCGTCGAGTGGATGAAGTCAGGGATCAGCGAGTCAATTCTCGGCGAAGCGAGGATCGCCAAGAAGAACGTAATAATCTCCGTCGGGAGGAACGAGACTCTACTAGGCGCGAGGAGCGAGAGGAAAACCGCAGGGAGCAAGGTCTCGACAGGCACAACCAGCGACGAGAGGAACAAGAATTCCTTCGTCGAGAAGATCGTGAATCCTCCAGTCGAATGGAACGTAATGATTTGCGACGAGTGGAGGTTCGTGACGTGGAACGAAGGGTTGAACTTGAAGGAGCTGAAGAAAGGCGTTTGGAAAGGAACAGCGATGAACGTCGAGAAGAACGTGAAGAAGAGCGAAGGGTAGAGCGTATCGAAAGGGAAATGGGCCCAAAAACCGAACGGAACTCAGCCAGACGAGAACATCGTGAGGCTCGTGATGCCCAGAGAGAACAGCGAACGGAGCGGGATAATCTTAGAAGAGAAGACCGTGAGAATTCACGACGAGTGGAACGAAGAGAAGAGCAAGAAGTTCAACGACGAGTGGAACGCGAAGATCTGCGAAGTAACGAGCAGCGAGAGCAGCGCGAAGAAGAACCCACTCGTCGAGTGGAGCGCGTTAATCTGCGAAGAGAAGAGCGAGAAGTTGAACGAGAAGAGGATCGTCGAGTGAAACGTGTTGATTTCCGGAGACAGGAAGTAGCATCTCTGCAAAGGGAAAATCAAACAGAAGATCTTCGACGAGAAGACCGTGTTAATCTGCGCAGGGAAGAGCGAGAAGTTCACCGACGTGAGGCAATTAATCACGAGCTTCCCAGACGTGAGATTCGTGGGACCTTGGAGGAGCGCGTACTCCTGGCCACACAGGTGAAGTCCAAGGGCTGGCTGAGCTACGGCAAACGAGAACTACTGATGACCGGACAGATCCTTCTGCTGGCCGCTCTCTACAAGAAGTCCACGGCAAGTGGAAAGGGACTTGGGTAAGCATTTTTCGGTACTGATTGACTGGGGAAAATCTCAACTAATAAAATTTTTCCCTAGCCACGCGTTGAGTGAGCAGATTCAGGGCTACCTGCAGGCCATCGGCTGCTAAGGAAATCGATCCGCCCTCCCAAATGGAAAGCCCCCGAAGAGCAAACGGATATGGATCAAGGCAAAACGGCATTACGACTACCCCCGGAAAATGCAAAAGGACCCGATGACGACGAAGAAGGCAGAAGGATGGGATGGGATGCTCCGTTTGGGGCATTGTACAATTTAATCCAACTGTTACTGTAACCAAAACCCCACCCCGAACCCAAACCACCCCCTGTTATAGCCAACAAGAGCATAACGAAAATATATGATGGGATGCTCGAGTAGCCGAGCATCTGCAAACTGCATTGCAATCCGTGAGTTTCGATTCCCGGCCAGAGGTTGAGGTGGGTCCTCCCATACCATACCATCTCATACCATCTCATCCTCCCCCTGGATAATTGGAGCATTCGCATCCGAGAGACCGCAACTGTCCACTCACATGGCTGGGCATCCTTGGATGCCAGGATGGCAGGATCCTTGAGGCTTGAGGCAGCCACACACACACACTTACACGCAAGCGAGGCTTTCCAGCCAACCACCTCCTTTTTTGGATGCCACAGAAACCGAGAAACCGAAACCGAAGCTGAAAGGCAAAATTATTATTGCGATTTTCCATGCCGTTTGCCTTCGTCCTTGCAGCATTGCTCCTGAATATCTATCCTTTCGCCCTCCGTGTTCGAGTATTCGAGTGTTCGAGTGAGTCGGTGTGTTTGTATCGAGGCTGATAAATTTCGCACATATTAGATGTTGGTCTGGTCTATTCATCTTTTTGGCTTTCAAGAGATTTCCCCTGATGGGGCCAACAGTAGCAGGAAAAGCAGCAGTTTTTGGGGGGCCGGCAACCAGCCAGTAAGCCATCCTTAATCAGTGAAACCAACACACAAATTTTACACAATTTTCATCTTTTGGGGATTATTTTCGGGGTGTAGGGAGTGTTGTGGAGTGTATGGAGAGTGTGCGGAGAGTGTGTAGTGTGTGTCTGCTGGAGTGCTCACTCTTATTCGTATTTGTGTGCGAATATATACATATATCCTTGCCTCGCCATGTCTGAGCTCGTTCCGAGTTGCTTTACTTACTCTTACCCAGAGATACGGATTTTATTGGGGGATATTCAAAATGTGAAGAGTGCGCACAGGGATAAAATCAAGTATTACGCACTTGAAACATTGAATTCCGACCGAATAGCATATTCGCCAGCGGTTAAGCTGTTAATTTCGAAAAGGCCAGAGCCATGTTGGGGATTTCATGCAACAAAGAATGCTGTTTTGGATTTCTGAAGTGCTGTGCTCTCCAAAAATCCCTAGCCAAGTACCAAAAATGGAAGACTTTACATGTAGGTATGCTAAAAACCTTAATTAAAGTTGAGAATCTCTCTTTAGGGATAAAAAATAATTATCTCTACTATTTTACAAATACTTCGGGACTAAAAAATTAATTAATCATTGTATAAACCTTTTTTTCCTGATTTAAAAAAGTTCAAAGAAATATTTTAAATTTCCAGTCCGAAATTCACCTCAATTAGACCCTTTCATTTTTATAATCCATATTTTTTCTCTTATTTATTTTTTGTAACCATGAAAACGATTTGTATGGATTCAATAGTATTCCCTTTTAATTTAATTTAATTCTTTTAAATATTTCGAAAAATTCCCATAAAGGGAACGCTGAAGAGAAGCCTTTTTGTCGGTCGAAAACAAATATCCAAAGCTAAAGCTAACGTGAAACATACCCTTTGAGTTGATAAATTCAGAAACCCAACGGATTTCCATTTTTTGGGCCATTTTTATTTTGGTTTTTTGGCATCTCCTGCTGAGTTTATTCATGGGGATTTTCATGAAGGATTTAAATTCAATGCGAATTCTTCTTATATTTTTTTTTTCGGCCACGGAAGTGTGAAATATCAATACGCAATGTCTCTGGCAAATACAGCGGTTTCGGGATGGGGGATCCTGTGGCCGTTGCCGTGGCCGGGGCAAGTTATGCGATATGAAAGCGCCGCAAAAGAGCAATAAACCAACGGGAAAACATCATAAAAAATTGAGTTTTCAATATTTATACGAATTAAATAATTCACTGACATTGGCCAGGCGGCCAAAGAGGAGCTATCAAAATGCCCGGATACCAATGGTATATATATATATATATACGTACCATATATGTATATACGAGAGGGCTAGAAAAGGCGGAAGGGATCGAAAAAACAAGAAGTTCGTAGCCCCCTTGGAAAGCTGGGTTGCTGGCCATTTTACGAGTATTTGAGGTTTATTTTATGCCCCTTTTCCCACCAAATAATACACAAGCACACACACACCCCACCCGAATGCAAAACAACATAAATTCTGTGTCAGAAATCATAAATTTCAATAAAATAAAAGCAGCGAAGCGCCAAATAAATACGTGGGGGAAAAAGTCGGGGGTTTTGGGGTGCTAACTTCAGTGGGTTTGGGGGCTAGGGAGTAAAAATTTACAGCTGTGCCCAAAATAATACATAAAGGTATGTGTACTTTTCGGCTTTTAAATGCAACCTGAAAAACTCCTGCATTGAGAAGGGTATTTTGTAAGTTAAATAAATAGTTGTTTTTACAATGAAACTTGTTTATTTATTAATTAAAAAAATGTATAGGTATTTAAGAAATTTTTAAAATTTCTTTTTAAAATTTGGAATATAGTTAAATGCGTTGCCTAATTATAGGGTGGCAACCCTACATTTTACTCTATTCATTTTTTAAAAATGTATCTTTCTTGATATTATATATTTTTATAATTATAGGAAAAATCTAAAAAAAATACAATTGACTTTCCAAATAATACTATTATCTTGACCCTGGCTGTAGATAGGTGTGTGCGTTTCCATGCTTCACTTGGCTAAGTAAAAGCAACAGCCGAGTGCAAAATATATTTCCTTTAAAGCGGGGCGAGAAAAACAAAAATGGCACGAAAGACACAAAAGGAAAAGTCCTTGGGAAGAGATGGGGTGTGTGTGTGAGTGTGTGTGTGTTTTGCATAATTTAATGTATGGACGAGGGACCAAGGATGCAGGATGCCCGCCATAAAGTGGCCACCAGGCTGCCGCAGGATGCTTTCTATCAAGTCAAGGTAACGGCCGAAACTTGAGAAATATTTCATGAGGCGAACGCGGCAAATGTGTTGCAAGACACACCACTAAAATGGTGGCCCTCTCTTTACTTTTCCCCCTTTTTTTTATCTTGTTGTTTATTTTTTTTCTTTGCCATTTGCCAGCAATTTTATAAATTATCAATTTCACTCTGCCCGACAGAAAGGCTAAAAAGCAAAGAAAGCAACAAAAAATATAGTAAAACGAGTAGGGCGCGCGCACAAAATAAATAAATGCAATAAGCGAAGGCAAATGGAAAATTGTGAAATTGGGGAAAATTGGAAAACCGCAGAAATTGCAATCGAAAATCCGCCACAAGTTGCCATTAAATGTCAATCGACGTGGGGTGGGGGAAGGGCAGAGTGGGCGGGGGGAGGCAAAGGGGCATTGTAGAAGGGAAATGTGCAGTTAAATAAAAATCAAAGCGGTTTACGTTATCAGCCAGCGATTCTGCTGCCAGTCGAAGAAGTTGCGTTGACAGAATTTTCCCCCACCGCCATTTCACTTTTCCAACTCAGTTCAACCCATTCCGCCCCCTTTTCTCCGCCCTCAGGGGCTTCTGCATTTCGGTGGCGGGGCAAATGCGAAATTGGTTTATGCAACAGACTTTTATGGTGCAGATCAGGAGACGAGCGCCGAGCATCGAGCATTTGCCAAATGCCAAAATGCCAAATGCCAAACTCCGAGTGACGGAGCCCCGGGTTTTCCAAATGACAGGCCCGTGCATTCAGAAAAATCAATTCAAAAATCTCTTGAACACATCTTGAATTTCTAGTTTAAATCTCAACTTGGCTACCCTAAAAACCCTTTATATAAATTATTACTATTATTCAATGATCTGCTGTAACATTTATTATAACATATGTATATTAAATATATTACATAAATAATTTAATATTTTAAAATGATCTAAAATTATTCATAATTTTAATTCAAATTATTATTTAAAAAAAAAAGTAAATATGCTTTTCTGTATTGTAAATTTATTTGAGCTCGAATTATTATAAAAATAAGATTGAAAGATAAAAGATTAAACTTTTTGTTTCTTAAATGTATTAAAAACTGTATAAACGCATTTTTTTGCTTTTAAGTTAGTAACTTTGTTTTAATTGCTGTCTGTCTATTACAATATTAAGAATATTTGTATTATTACTAAGGACTTTTAGATTTCCTTAAACACTTCTAGCTGTCCAAATCACTGACTTTAATGCTTCTAAATTTCATTACATACACTTATTTTCAGTGTAGAAGAACTAGTTGCAGGTGGCGGGCGTTTGGGGGGCAATGCCAGCATCAATCGCAGTTGTGCAAATAAATTTGCCGTTCACGTACATGAAAGCCGCTTGCACAAGCATGCAATCATCCTCAAATATTGTCCCAATCCGAATCCCAATTGCAGCCCATCTCCTGGATTTTGGATTCCAGACCGCATTGAGACCTCCGATTCCGATTCGGGTTCGGGTTCGGTTTCGGATTTGGACTGGGACTGGGACTGGGATTGGGATTGGGACTTTGATTTGGATAGGCGCAGGTAGCCATCACATGACATCGCCTCACCTGTTCGATGGCCACAATACCAATGATGACATTTGCTGGCTTGAGCTGAGTTTTATGGGATTTTAGATATTTATAGATTGCAATCGCTCTGTTTGGCAGGAAGAGGGGTTACGAAAGTGGCATCGAAATGGATCCTTCGGGGGGATGGGGATGGGGATGGGAAGCTGGGACTCTGGGACTCTGGGATTCTCGGCTGTCGTTGCCCAACGGAGCATAAAAAATTGCTGCACTCAGACTCAGCACTCTGGCAATGTTTGGGGCGTGGATGAATGTGAATGGGTGAAAATGGTTGGGTGGGTGGTTTTTTCAGGGGGGGGTTGGTGCACCCTAAACGATAGCAGGCAAAGTCAATTTAGTGAAAATGCGAGGCAGCAAGTGAAATGTCATAGCCAAGTGGGTCGGGCAGGCGGTGCGACCTTCGGCAGCCGCCTTTTCAACGTGATACCATGCCACCCACAAACCCCACCCTCTTCTCCCATTTCGCAAACCCAAAACCATCACAACCCCCCCCACCCCCATTTGTCCCCCGCCAACAGCTGTCATTGTCAGTGGGCCACATGCTGTCTCTTCTTCCTGCACAAGCTGCAAGTTGCACTTTTGCCTTAAAGAAGAATTCCACTTCGAATGTTTAACTTATTG